AGCAGAGACTCTGAGTTCTGCACTGAATTATTATGGTAGCAGAGACTCTGAGTTCTGCACTGAATTATTATGGTAGCAGAGACTCGGAGTTCTGCACTGAGTTATTATGGTGCACCGAGTTATTTTGATAGCAGATACTCGGAGTTCTGCACTGAGTTATTATGGTAGCAGAGACTCGGAGTTCTGCACTGAGTTATTTTGATAGCAGAGACTCTGAGTTCTGCACTGAGTTATTATGGTAGCAGAGACTCGGAGTTCTGCACCGAGTTATCTTGATAGCAGATACTCGGGATCTCTGCACCGAGTTATTTTGATAGCAGATACTCGGAGTTCTGCACTGAGTTATTATGGTAGCAGAGACTCGGAGTTCTGCACTGAGTTATTTTGATAGCAGAGACTCTGAGTTCTGCACTGAGTTATTATGGTAGCAGAGACTTGAAGTTCTGCACCGAGTTATTATGGTAGCAGAGACTTGAAGTTCTGCACCGAGTTATTTTGATAGCAGAGACTCGGAGTTCTGCACTGAATTATTATGGTAGCAGAGACTTGAAGTTCTGCACTGAGTTATTATGGTAGCAGAGACTCGGAGTTCTGCACCGAGTTATTATGGTAGCAGAGACTCGTAGTTCTGCACCGAGTTATTTTGATAGCAGAGACTCGGAGTTCTGCACTGAGTTATTATGGTAGCAGAGACTTGAAGTTCTGCACCGAGTTATTATGGTAGCAGAGACTTGAAGTTCTGCACTGAGTTATTATGGTAGCAGAGACTTGAAGTTCTGCACCGAGTTATTTTGATAGCAGATACTCGGAGTTCTGCACTGAGTTATTATGGTAGCAGAGACTCGGAGTTCTGCACTGAGTTATTATGGTAGCAGAGACTTGAAGTTCTGCACCGAGTTATTTTGATAGCAGAGACTCGGAGTTCTGCACTGAGTTATTATGGTAGCAGAGACTTGAAGTTCTGCACCGAGTTATTTTGATAGCAGATACTCGGAGTTCTGCACTGAGTTATTATGGTAGCAGAGACTCGGAGTTCTGCACTGAGTTATCTTGATAGCAGAGACTTGAGGTTCTGCACCGAGTTATTTTGATAGCAGATACTCGGGATCTCTGCACCGAGTTATTTTGATAGCAGAGACTTGGAAGTTCTGCACTGAGTTATGATGGTAGCAGAGACTCGGAGTTCTGCAATGAGTTATTTTGGTAGCAGAGCAGGAAAGTCAGAGATTGAACCAAACTCATACATTCTTCTCATTACAGACCAATATTCAGAAAGTTAAAACTATCATGATTTTGAAAGTCTTTAAGTAATATATTATTCTATTAAAAAAGACCACAGCAAAACAGAACAAATATATTGGTTATTTATTTAATCTATGCATTTTCATAAGATATTATATTTAGCGGTAAAACAATTCCTGAGAACCAATGGTTCGGATATTGCTAATCTATTTTCATCGCGAGATTGTCCTAATCACATACCCTTAGCAATATCATCATAAATACGTTGTATTTATATAGCACTATAGACAATGTAGCGGCAAGCACAACCACCTTAAAAGTTCACCCCTTTCAATTTCAGTCAATTTCAATTGTGAAGATATGTTATGTATTAAGGAATCCTTAGCTTCATGAAATTCCATACTTTTTTTACGGAAAGTTGTTATTGTAGGTATATGAACGGGAAAAAACGAAAGAATTACTATATTAGATTAGTCAATATATGTATTGATAAATCCTTAACTGTGACAAAGATTTGGTCAGGACGTGGTCGTGAAACTTGAGGTCAAAAAATCAAATCTCGGTTAAAAGTATTTCGTTAATATAAAGTAAATCAAACTTCAGTACTAACAGTTAGCTGCAAAGGATTTCGTACAATTACAATCAAATCTACAGTAAATGTACCATAAGAACCTCGATACAACGGTCTCCCTCAGATACAGTAAATCTAAATATACAGGTCCCCGCTCAAAAACAATCAAACCTCGATATAGAGGCTCTCGTTAATTTACAATAAAAATCATAATATAACGACCCTCTTACAATACAATAAAACCTTAATTTAACGGCCCTATTATAATACAATAAAACATCAATATAACGGTCCCTGCTCAAAACCAGTAAAACCTCTATATAATGGCCCCCGCTAAATTACAACTAGAACAAGAGGCCCATGGGCCTTAACGGTCATCTGACAAAAAGCAAGCCAAACCTAGAAAGTGGGTTGAGGTCATTCATCTGAACAAACTTGGTAGCCTCTCCTCCAAGCATCTTACAGGCCCAATATCAGCACTCATGGACTTTTGCTTGTTGAGAAGAAGTCGTTTGTATATTTTAACATATTTGACCCCTGTGACCTTGAAAGTGGGTTGAGGTCATTCATTTGAATAAACTTGGTAGCCTTTCCTCCCAGCATGCTACAGACCCAATATCGGCACTCATAGACATTTGCTTATTGAGATGAAGTCCTTTGTATATTTTAACATATTTGACCCCTGTGACCTTGAAAGTGGGCCAAGGTCATTCATTTGAACAAACTTTGTAGGGCTCCATGCCAGCATGCTATGGGCCAAGTATTAGCCCCCTAGGCCTTCTAGTATTTGAGAAGAAGTTATTTAAAGATTTTGACATATTTGACCCCTGCGACCTTGAAAGTTGTTCAAGGTCATTCATTTAAATAAACTTGGTAGCCTTTCCTCCCAGCATGCTACAGACCCAATATCGGCACTCATAGACTTTTGCTTATTGAGATGAAGTCCTTTGTATATTTTAACATATTTGACCCCTGTGACCTTGAAAGTGGGCCAAGGTCATTCATTTGAACAAACTTTGTAGGGCTCCATGCCAGCATGCTATGGGCCAAGTATTAGCCCCCTAGGCCTTCTAGTATTTGAGAAGAAGTTATTTAAAGATTTTGACATATTTGACCCCTGTGACCTTGAAATGTGTTCAAGGTCATTCATTTAAACAAACTTGATAGCCCTTCATCCCAGCATGCCACAGGCACAATATCAGCAATCTGAGCCTTTTGGTTATTGAGAAGAAGTTGTTTAAAGATTTTAACATATTTGACCCCTGTGACCTTTAAAGTTGTTCAAGGTCATTCATTTAAACAAACTTGATAGCCCTTCATCCCAGCATGCCACAGGCACAATATCAGCAATCTGAGCCTTTTGGTTATTGAGAAGAAGTTGTTTAAAGATTTTAACATATTTGACCCCTGTGACCTTTAAAGTGGGTCAAGGTCATTCATTTGAACAAACTTGGTAGTCCTTCATCCCAGCATGTCACAGGCCCAATATCTACACTCTGAGCCTTTTGGTTAATGAGAAGAAGTTGTTTAAAGATTTTAACATATTTGACCCCTGTGACCTTTAAAGTGGGTCAAGGTCATTCATTTGAACAAACTTGGTAGAGCTCCATGCCAGTATCCTCTGTGCCAAGTATTAGCCCCCTAGACCTTCTAGTATTTGAGAAGAAGTCGTTTGAATGAAAAGTTTACGGACGGCGCACGGCGGACGACGACGGACGAAGCATGATGACTATAGGTCATCGGACCCTTCGGGTCAGATGACCTAAAAACCTTGATGTAACACATGTCATTCATATACTGAAATTTTAATCAAACAAGCTCCGATGTAACAAACTTTTTGGCACAAAGACAAAACCATGAAGTCTAGAAAAATCACTTCATCTACATTAAAGCACTTTTCATTTCGCCAAACTAACGCCATTATTTCGAGTTTTCCCCCTCTATTTTCATCATTTTTTTCATTTGATTCAAACATTTTGCATTGTCGTAATGACCAGCAATGGTCTACAGAAATATTATAATTCATATCCCTTCTGTGGATATATTTTTCGACAAAATTCTTCAATTCATCACTGAAATGTTAACTTAGAATGAAAGATGGTCACAAAATTACATGAGTTTACAAAAGTACACAATATTTCGGTAAAATGCCAAATATTTTCTCAGCAATTTTTATGACAATATTCTAATCCATGAAAAACAAGTACATAAGTAATTCTTATTTTTGGTCATCAGCAAAAATAAAATCTGACTTTTTCTGTCGGCTTAAAATAGCAATGGAGGCTCAATCCCTCCCTACTGATGGTAATGACAAATTAAGGATCTTTTTCTGTTTCCAGAAAAAGCAAATTGTTTAATTAATCAAGTATCCAGCAATATTTTGTATTATACTCAGAAGGCATCTTGAAATAAATATATTCACCTTAAAATAATTTAAATATTCAATCAACAGAATATATGTAATTGTATACATTACCTGTATTGTAAAGCTCAACCAGAGAGACACGACATGATTTGATTAATTCAAAATTGAAATAAAAGGAATGCCATGATGTATTTGTAAGTTATAAAACCTTGTAGATATTGGCATGAATGATAGTTGGAAGTACCCATACAAATTTTATTATTGTCATCAAACCATTCATACATAATCATTTTTTTCACCAGATCATCAAGATGTTTGTAATTCGTACATATCAAATAAAACAATTTCCTCTCAAAATTAATTAAATTCATGTATCCTTGTATTCTCTCGTTTATTTCACCAGCCACAAGCAACATATTGATTTAAGATTATGAAATATTCATAAGCTATATTGTTGTTTACTGTGATCTGGACAAATAAGCAATGCTTACATTCTGGATCACCTTTCTCTCACAAATAAACTTCACAAACCTCCTAATTGACCATATTTCGAATCTCAAAAAATACCTACATATTGTTTTTATCCCAAATTAGTTAGAATATCACAGTTTAATCAAATATGGATTATTGCAAGTTCAATATTTTCAATTATAGATTTCAAATCCTGTCTCACAGTTTCTTCAGAATCCTCCGCTCAAAGTTTTCCATGAAAAATATCGTAGTTAGCACATCTACTTTCTTGACTTGACAGAAATTTAACCTCCTAATAAAGCTAATTCTGACACCACCATCCCCTCTCCACGCCACCCCACCCTCTTCCTTCCAACCATTACAAATATTTCAAACTAACTGCACATATAACAACTAGAAATGATACAATGAGATAATGAGATTTTTTCATTACTTAATTATCATTTAAAAAGCAGAATTGTAAATTTTAAGTTTACAATGCTATGGCCCCTAACACCCATTGACTGTAAAATGTATACTTTTGTTTGTTTACGAATGTGTTTTCATTACCTGGTATTGGTTTTCCTTTAAATTTCAAATGCTTATTCAATAAATCTAGCCTACAAGCTATGGTATTTGTTATATAACTAAAAACAATGACAAAGCCAGAAGCATCATCTATATGCTAAAGTTCAATTTGAAGAGACATTGAAAACAGCTGATAATAAAAATTATTGTTCAAATTGGTGACACATATCTCAGTTGAAGTCATGCTTTGTTCCTGTACTGTTTGCTGGGGACAAACAATAACAGTAAGTGTTGTTTAGGTTAATTAAATATTATTCCTTACGAAAAATTTATGAAAAAAATATCTCAAGATTTTGAAATTGTGAAAAAAATATAGAATATCACAAAAAGAATAAAATTTCTAACTGAACATTATTTGGGGGAGGAAGCCAAAATATTAGCAAAACTTACATAATACCATCAAGAAAGTATGAAACAAATAAGTATAGACTGTGTTTACATACATTTCGTTGTGTATGTTTAAACTCCATATATGTTAAGTTGTCATGCAGTTGCCACTTGATAGCTACAGAGTTCATCCACAATTGGTTGTTGGATTGAATGGTTAAGGCTATCGCTAAGTATTGTCTCACCAACGAATGTCAGATTTTATGATGAAGCCAGCTTCACTAACAATGAAAGTGATTAAAATGTTATAAACGAAGCGTCATTCGATATAATGGACTTTTTCTGTTGACTTTTTTATATCAATCTGGTATCAACACCAGACTGATACAAAAAGTCAATAAAATCTGTAAACAATTTGGATTAATCCTACGTAGATCGATGTGAATGCGTAGATTTTGAACATAAAAAATAGCTATTCTCCAAATTATGAACAATAGATTGGAAAGTGATCATGAATTCCAGTATTAAATGTTTTGTTTTTCTTCTCCAAGGTTTCAAAGTTTTTTGTTCCATGACAAATGTTGAGTCAGACATTTTTTTTAACACACTGAAAACATGTATCACTGTGTGGTACTTAACCATACACCATTACATCTATATCTGTAGATCTGAAGTTTCTGCAATGACTTGATAAGGCACCATAGAATGAGAGTTCAAGTAATGTATGCAGGTTAAGAAATGTTTCCCAATAATAATAAAATACATATCGCATTTTACATAAAATAATTTAAAAATGGAAATTAATATTGAAAATGTAATTGTGAGTTAGATAGCGTTGAAAAGAAAATCCCATATAATCCCAAACACACCACATAAGAACCAATTGATGAAAACCCTCTATGACAATTTAGAAGAGAAGATAAAATTTTGAAAAACATGTAAAAATTACAACATTTTGGAGATTGCTGCAAGTCTAACAAACTCTTGGAAAAATTTCAGCATGAGACAATTGTTTTACTTCATTCTTCTTTGCTTGGAATAATTTTTTCTATGATTCAAGCTTAAATAGCTGCATGTTGATATTGGTTAAAAAATTAACACTAAATACATAATGGAACACACTGAGATATGCTTGACGGAAAATTACAGTTTCGTTAGACAGATGATAGTGTTTAGTGAAAAAATTGTATACTGCTGTAGTCTAGATAGCCAACACAATCACTTTCCCAGCTGTGTTGTAAAGAACACAGATGCATTTGAGGCATAGTCAAGCGGCAGTGTCCTTCCAATACTTGTAGCACCTATACTAGCGGCACCGACGGCTGCTGACTGTTTTAGTTCACAAAGGCTGAGGTGACTGATTCTGTGACTGGTACTTTTCTCCATCTCCTCCATAAATCCTAAGACAGTTGATAAATCTTTGAAATACAGTACGTCATGTAAACAAAATAAACAGATATACGAATAGATTTTTTTTAACTTCAGGGCACTTTTGCATAAGCAAGAAAATCAACAGGTGTGCTGAATATCATGAGTTTTCAGAATTCAAGAATAAAGCATGGTCAGTGGACACACATATTTGCCAAAATATTACGCTATGAAGTAGAAGTGACAATTTTTATATTTGGTTCTTTGTTTTATGATTGACATGAAATTTCAGAAACTGCATTTTTAGCTTTACATATATCAGTTCCCACCTCCGTTATAGGTGCATTACAGGTGCATTTGTTTATCGTGTAATAATTCTGGGCCGCTTGAACCGTTTCAACCAGGTTTCGCAAAAGTGAGCTTAGTCTATCAGTATATTTCCCATTACTGAACAAATTCTAAAAATGTTTATACCCCTTAAAGTATAAATCATAATTGTTTTTCTCTCATTTTGCAATGAAAAATTAAATTGTTTTATACTCTTATTTTGCAATCACAAAAACTAAGAAAATTTTCTGAAGTCAGTCCTCGTATCAATAGGTGTGCCAACATTATGCAGTGTAACATGATCGAAGGGAGATAATCACATCAATTACTGTGAAGAACTCCAACATACAAAAAGGTATGCATTTTGGTCTTTGGTATAAATCAACTTCAATATCATGTTCTTTTCATTTTGTACATTCAATGTCACAATTGAATGGGATTACATGGAAAAAACTGAGAGTTTCATCTTCTCTCTCATACATGAAGGTTGGTTGAAGAAGACCAGATGTGCCCATAAGACTCCTTCTACCTTTGCTAAAATTCCACAATCTGTCTATAAATATATAAAGAATGATTAAGAGGTAGTGCTATTTTACACTACTTTTGTCAAAGAATGTAATATCTTAATTACTTACGTTTCTAAAGCATCATAAAGTCTAGAAGAGGTCTATTTATAGACTATTTGAGATTAAATTTTGACAATTCTAAAAAAAAATATGCAAACACATGAATGGCATAATCTTTTAAAGTTTTCCAAAAAACTTCCATTTACTTACCACAGATACCTTCTGATAAACATACCTAACTTCATAAGATCCCAGCTTTTCCACACTGACCCAACACACACCACACTCAGACCCTGCTCCAACAGTTTCTGCAGTTAAAAAAACAAGTATTAAGTCACATTTGAACTTAGGATGCATCATAATAGAAACCCTTGAGTGATATGGCTCATACAACATCATCTCTATACTGAATTTTCCCTCATGACTTTCCTGCATTTATCTTTTCTTTTTCTATTCAATAGTTTTATTTTAAGTCATCTTTTCACTATCTCACTTTTCTGTATTTCATTCCATCAAATTTTAATCAAAATATCAAGTAAGCTATATTAGCATTGTGAATTTAAACAGTTACAAAATGCCTGTCAAATGGCTTCTCTTCCACTTAAAATTGATAACATCAAATGGATTTTAAATTTGAATATGCTTATTAACATCAAATGTACTCTGCAATATATTTAACTGTGACATCATTCACCAACATCAACTTAAATTGAGAGTTTTGCACATTATAATAAAAAGAAAAATTCAATACTTCTTTACATTTGAATTAAATATTTTGAGTGTAATATCTTTACCTTCCATTTAAAGATGCCAATGAGATAATATTGACAGAAAAAAAAATTAAAACATGTTTTGTGATCAGTATTCTTCCTATACAGCCTTAAATTAATATAGATATCATTCTTACCCAGAGAATATAGCTTTACACAAACTTATTTCATTCTTCCAGAAAATCTAGCTTTTTCTCCCTGTTCTTTTATCTCTATTCCTCACATTTTGCCGTTGTTCTATCAAGATTGATTTTAAACAATAATGGCTCATTTATCTATTCATTCATTTTTTATTTTATTAACTTGCCTAACTTGGCAGTTTGAATTCAAGATGTATCAATACAGGTATATCATGTACACAATATTATCTGTATAGACCTGATCTATCTTTGGCTCCAGTGCGAGAACATGTCTGGCCAGGATCTGTCCGGCGTCATGGAACACCTGCTGGCAGAGTTTGTCTTTCTTTTCAGTGGCACCTGTAAAAAAGGAAACATCATTCTTGAGACCTGAAGGTCTATTTGTGAAAAACATCAAATATTTTCCTACTTCTATCCCCAACCTTAAAGTCCAATATCATGTTTACACAAGCACAACTATATTAATATTAGTTATTGTTTCAATACTGTAAAACCATATAATTTTTTTGCCTGAGCAAAAACACATCCATTTCTAAACTTTGATACGGTAAAGGACAGTTATTGTATCTAGCATACCTGCATATTGTGCATAGAGCTGGAATTCTTCATTATCAACTCTATAACATCTACATCAAAACATTTAACACGTTTTCGTCATAATATAATTACTTTACATAGAACCCTACCCTACATCACAACAGATACAAATCAATCACCTGTGTCATGTTGCTGTCCTACTACCAGTGGAAACAAAAGTATCTGGAGAAAACAAAATTTGTCAGGAAGGTGATCCCATATCTATTCATTATCTGATTGGTAAATCTTACCCTGGTTGCCTCGTTAAAAAGTGAATATATCACGCGGGTTACTTTAAAATTTTAACACATCTATTTCAGAATATTATCTTCAGGTTTTTAATGATGATGAAATAAAATTTCTTATAATGCAGAGTGAAGCGAGCCAGTCAGTACTAAACATGGACAAAGTGTCCCACTCTAAATCTTCCACTGTTTGTGTTAAAAAAACTTCTATTCTACTATGTAATACAACCATTTGTCAAAAAAAACTTTATGGGGCTCTTGAAAAATGGAACAACTTCATATATTTTACAGTCAGTTGACATCAAATTCACAATGACTGTAGGACTGAGGTTAATAATAAAAGTAGTAATTATCTTTATTTTCCAAGGATAAATACATTTATCTATCACATGGTCCTCTTATTAGTAAAACATACTGATACATAAATGGGTGAGTATAACATTAGATATAGGGAAAAAGTAATAACACGTAAATATTAAATCTAAAATATGATTTCCTTAAATTCATGAGGTAAAAAATTCAAGTCTTAAATACTGGATAGAAAAAAATTGGTTTGAGTAAAAAACAGTTTTGTGTTTTGGCACTGAAAAGTTAAAATCACAGGTATATCATGTAGCTCTATTGTGACATTTCTAACTTAAGATACATTGCTGGATAAGTATTCAGTGACTTCTTCATGAAAACATTTTAAAAAATCATACACAGCCATCTTAATTTAAAACATTCAGTTAATACATTTCATATAAGAATTCCAAACTACATGTGTTACAGTCACCAAGCCTGCCAGACTTTTGATACCTGTTGCTAACTCTTTACACATCCCAGCAATGAACGATTTGTCAAAGTTGGTGTACAGGTATTGAAGAATTCCGTTTCTTTCCTCAATCTGGGAAAAATCAAACAACACTGATGTTAGAAAGCAATGCAAACTCTGATGAAGACACAATAAAAATGCTATTTCTCATAATCACAAACCAGATTAACAGTGTCTGAAACAAATTTATATACTACTCATGTAGTTTGTCAAGAGCAAATAGGCTTGAGGCAGGCTAACATTAATCATTATCTGAGATATCTGATAACACTTCATACTCGTGATATGATCCTTGATCTGGATAATTTACAACTATAAGATATCTGATATTTAAGGACACTATTGAACTTTAAAAAAGCAATGTGACATTTCCTTCTGCAATTCGCTGCACGATAATTCAAAGTTAAGGGTGAATATTTTACTTTGTACACAAAAGGATTATTCAGCTTACCAAACGTTTCATTATAATGGATTTACTTTAAGTACCTTGAAATATTTCAGCATAGTGTCTCCCACATAGGTAACATCACATTGTAGAGGATGAAGATTGTCCACATGATCAAAGTAGGCCTTTATAGCTCGCTGTGTAATCCAGTATGCTGTACACAACATTCATCATATATCAGCAACATAAACTGCTCGAAATTAAAAATCTTTACAGATCTATGACTTAGACAATCACAATCCTGTATACTGGGATATTTTCATCCATGTTATTTTCACCTTTGTTCCATTAAACATGAATTCATTACATGTTCATTTTGCCCCTGAGGATAATGTAAATGGGTTATATAAGGGTAATACATTTTCATGTCTCGTGTGCATGGCAAAAAGGGATAAAATTCAATGTAGGTGGAAATGTTTTATACAGTACCTTGTTCGGATTGAAATAAAAGTAAAATAGTTTTATGTCTATCCTGAAACTTCTGAATGAAAGCAAGAAATGGGCACAGCACATGACAATCAAGCATTATCTGGTATAGATATGGGACAGCTTTTTACAAGGCATAGACTCAATATTACCTGATATACCAGTAATTAAATGTCTGTATTTACAGGACAAAGGACATAGTTAACCGACTATGTTTGTGATTTTACATTAAAACATATTAAGCAAGGGCTGTTAGTGATAGGCTATGCTCCTGAAACAGGACAACATTTGTGTAACAAAAGGCAATAACTCCTAAATTATGCAAAAGAGAGTAATGGTTCTTGTGCACTGACCTCCTCCTTGCTGCGATCTATCTAACTAGTAAGTTTTATGTTGATACCTCTTACAGTTTTTGGGTTATGCTCTGGACAAAATCAGGACGGACAGACAAACAGATGGATGGACAAAGCGGCAACTATATGCTCTCCCTTCAGGGAGCATAATAAAAATCCAATTAATCAGATATCACCGGTCAGCTTAATTTTTCCATACATTATCACTATCTGTGACTTTAAATAACATTTTGTGCTTAAGTCTGAGCTAAGTCACATCTACCTTAAAGAGCCAGACCCACTCCATTATAGATATTTTTTCATATTTTATTGACTGGAAATGTTGTTGTATACTAATAGATAGTATATATTATAAGGATAAAGAAACGCAGGGTTAACTTTAAACCAGAAATAAAGTATGATATCGGGCTTCATTTAAAACGAAATTTGCTATACTTACAGATAAATTAAAGCTTAAAAATTTCCAAAGTCTGTATTTTGCATCTGACAATTGGTTTAGAGGTACTAACGATTAAATTGAATGGACCCATAGGATTTTGAAATTAAATTGAACTGAGTCATCAATATCTTTTGTGTCCGCTGTTTGCTATGGTCATGGCCCTTATTCTTCTGGTCATAGAGTTCATGAGAGCGGTAATCCGTCTTATGGGGATGTTGTCCCACTCTTCAATCAGAGCTCTGGTCAACTGCTCTCGAGTAGCAGGGGGTGGCTGGCACTTTCGAACCTGTCTATCCAACTGGTCCCAAAGATGCTCGATCGTGGACAAATCAGGGCTATATGGTGGCCAATCTAGTGGTTGAATGTTGTTGTTGGCCAGAAAGACTTGGCAAATCCTTGCTACGTGGGGCCGAGCATTATCCTGCTGGAGGGTTAGATTATGCTGCTGTTAGAAAGGGATAACATGGGGTCGGAGGATCTCATCTTTATACTTAGCTGCTGTTAAATTGCCATCAATAACAACCAATTGTGATTTTAACCCGTGTGAGTTTGCTCCCCACACCATTACTGAACCGCCCCCAAACCTATCCCTCTCTACAACGCAAGCATCCGTAAAACGTTCGCCACGACGTCGGTAGACACATTGACGGCCATCAGATCGATAAAGACAGAATCGAGACTTGTCCGTGAAGAAAACTTGTCTCCACGTCCTCAGTGGAAACCATCGTGGAGCATGTGCAGCGACCTAGGCCATACGACGCCGACGTCGAGCAGGGGTAAGGTGTGGACCTACGTAGGGGCGACGTGCTCTTACACCAACTTCTCGTTATCGATTCCTTACAGTTTTTGAACTTATAGGACGTCCATGATTTCAACGAACATTAAATGCACTCTCAACCACAGACCTAGTTCGATCAGCCAATCGCCCAGTTTCCCGAAGACGTCTTACAAGACGTTCTATGGTGGAAACATTAACACCAAAGTGGCTAGCAACCTGCTTTTGCAGCTGTCCTTGCATCAGCATCTGAATGGCCTGACCCCTCTGATCTTATGTGAGTCGTGCCATTCTTAAAACGAATCAAATTCTCAATTAATTTTAGGGAAGCAGTTGGTCTGTATAAAGATTAACGAAGAGTGACTTGACCAACGCTGCACGAGACCAGAACAACACAGTGCACTTACTCCATTTACCACAGCTGCGCACTGTACCGTGACTAAATTTTTGATACATGACAAGGTGTAATATGACCTAATTACTCAATCCACAAAGTTTCACTTTATTTGGATAACGCGTTTTCAAAATATCGGAATAAATATTACCCTGTGTTTCTTTATCCTTTCAGTATATAAATAAAGACTTGTATAAAGTTTCGAACTTGAAATTGAAAGGGTACCTGACATATCGGTGCCTGAATTAGTCTCATTAATCAACACCAGGATATGAATATTGATGAGGAAAAGTCACGTGATACGTTCAGACGCGGTCAGAACCAAAACAAAAATGGAGGAAGAGGCGAGTAGTCCGTCCATGTGACATCACTTGTTTTTAAATTCAGTTTGGTCTTCACAGCATGCTCGTCAATATAAATCGTTGCCTCTGATATATCATGGTCTCGTGCCATCTTCCTTCTTTTCGCCTCAGAGTCCGTCAAAACACGTTTTCTTTCCAGCTTCCCTCGCATGCTTTCTGCCATGCTTGAAGACGGCAGATTTATTTACAGTTCTTTGGGCATGTGTCAGAGGGCAGGACTTCCCACATAATTATGAATTAGCACCGAGTCGTTTCGAATTTTTTTTTAAAACTATTTATTACGTTAGATTGGTAGCAATTTACTTTAAAATTGCGGTATTACAGGGTTAGTCAGAACTTTTGTTACCTGAGAAAAATAGAAAATCATTCATTTTTTTTTTTTTATATAAGATAATATCGGTCGAGGAGTGGGTCTGGCTCTTTAATTAAATTAAGTTAAATTTAATTAAAAGGTAAAATTTTTACACCTGGGCACCTTACCCCCTCCTTCATCACCCAAAAGGTGCCCCCATCCACCACATCTATAGCTACTGCCGTCAGGGTTGTTGAGCTGGCAATTTGATCCTGTACCCGCAATCAGTACAATTCCACCTGTAAAATGAAAATATCTATAGATATAAGTCCAATCGAGAATGACTCCATCATTCACAAATATAAAGTCATTTCTAAATCACTGTTCGCAAAATAATGTATTCTCGAATATGATTTTAGAGGTAAGGTCGTGAAATAAAGAATTCACAAAATCAAAGTAATTTACTGTATCTAATCTTCATGAAGAACGTTCAAGACACAATAAAATATAACCTGTTGCCGTTGCTGTTGCTATGGCACCACTTGTATCACTGGAAACTGCCACATTCTCACTCACTTTGCCATATTTGGATTTCATGCCATCTATAATTTGTTGTTGAGCTTCTTTCTGGTCTGCTCCACTCATAGATAATCCCTGTAACAGACAACACAATACGATAATGTGAAAACTGGATAATATACACTCTAACTGATACACTTTACAACTGTTCCAGATATTGAACAATTTGACAAGTTTTCTTTCCTTAAAGACATATTTTTCCTTAACTTTGTAAAATACTCATGGCTGGTTTTTTTCATACAAAGTTTTGCCTTTGTTTTAAAATATATGGTGTACTTCATAGTGCATCTGTTCAACAATCAGTTCCAACAATTTCAGTATTTTTTTCAATTTTTTGTACTGAAGTGCATATTCATTGAGATAGCTTGGTACATGTTAGCGTACAAAGGGAAATAGGCAGATAGCCCAATGTAAATACACATTGATGAAACATACAGAAAATAAAAAACCGTACTCCTACTTACATATGATAACCACAAATTTTCATTAAACATTAAAATAAAACATCGTTAGAACAGCATTAAGTTCGATATCTTAAATACTGCAGGGATTACAATCACTTTCACTCTTTGTACCCTTGCAACATTTCCTGTCAAAATTGAAGGCAAAAGTGAAGCAATATGATTGGTCTAGGTTTCAGGAGTAAAACCTGACCAACCAGAGACTGATATGCTTCTTTGGAGACTTAAAAAGACACCCAACTTCAAAGCCAGGACAAAATACCATAGCGACCTCAAGGTTTGTTTGATGTACATCAAAGGATCAAACTTGTCTTCTTGTCATATCCACAAGGTGTTGCACATGGAACCATCAATTTTTGCCATGAAATATTCCAAGGGTGTAGAGAGCAATAGTGAGTGTAACCCCTGGAGTATTGAGGATGCATTTTCCTCAGACTACCATATTATACTGGAAGCAGTATTCAGAATCACTTGGGCATCATTAATGACATCATGACAACAAAATAGTTCCACAAGCAAATGATTAAAGTAATGTTTTTATTTACTATTTGCAAATACATCTAAATGTCTTCCATGTCTCTCCACATTTAAACCATATTTTACAGTATTTAGCAAACATGACACATTTACAACAAGTATATGGTAAGTATGACAAGACTATATACTCTTGTGCAAACCTAATCGCCATGTGTAAATATTGGTTATTACACACATTTTAGTTGTCATGTGGTGTCTAGAGACTACAAAAGGTGTATCTATACAGTGTAGATATATGCAGTGTGACTTTGCTTTTTCATGTGAATTCATAGCACATTTTAAAATGTCATATATATTTAAGAATAGTCACCATCAAAAGGATACAGTTCAATGGTACTTTGGTATACATACACTTTATGAGAATGTATTATCACACATACCAATGCCTTGATAGGTTTCTCCTGGTCTAGTCCTGCGATTTTCTTTGCCTCTTGAACCATATCACAAACTCTCTTAAGACATTCCTCCAGTCCCACAAGCTGTTCGTGACCAAAATAAAATACAATTAATTCCCTTTGATCTAATTCTTTTTTTTACAAAATGAAAAAATTCGAAATTACAGTAACAATTTTGCACTGTGTTATCCTTGTCAATCTTAAGTGAAAGTTATTCAGAAATATCTAATGTTTCAGATACTTATGAAAGTGTTTTAAATACAAGTGAAATTTGTTAAATATTGTGAAAACTGTCTATAAAAACAACTCAGGTAAGCAACAAAAATAGGCCTTTATAGAGAGGTGGCCTTTATAGAGAGGTGGTCTTCATATAGGGGTGGTCTTCATATATTTATGTAAAAGTTCATCTACTATCATTTCTACTCAATCAAGACTACAACATGTGACCTTTCTAGACAGGTGGCTTTTAGACATTTTTTATTGTACATTCTTTAAATCTATTTCTGTATCTAACTGGAGCGCAGCCAGACCAGAAATCTAACCCAGCACCTTCCGAACTTTAGATGGATGCTTTACTTACAGAGTTAACTGGTCGCTGACGATCGGCCCAATTCATTCTTATTTCATATACACTTAAAATCTAATCTGTAATAGACCAGTTCTTTATTTAACAACGGTATACTTTATGTTCTTTTCAGTGAAGACAGAGCTTCATTCTGAAGTTGGTATTGTGATTGATAATGAACTAGAACATCAATCAACCCAGGCCTCACTGCTTCCTGTAGGGTCCTGAAGATAGAAATTTCCTATATCAAATCTTTATACTGATCACTTAATTTATACCTACACAGAGACCCAAATTGTATGAACAAATTAATAGAGAACATGTAGATCCTTAAGTTTCTTCTCTGAAATTATCACTGATTTCACCCTAAGTTATGGAGGCCTGAATTCCTACTGTATTCAGGTATTTCTGAGAAAAAAAGGACAATAAAATGTATACTGGTACATACCCATTGATTTGTAGATGGACCCTCTGTCCATGCCATCACTTTTCCATCTGAACGGAATAATACCATCTTTGAATGTGTAGCACCTCTGGAAAATAATTGATGCAATTATGTAAAAAGTGAGGAAAAAGGCTAGACTTTCAACAACCTCTCCCCCGTCCCTATACATTATGTTTCATAGACACAACACCAATCTTATTGATCTTTTTATTTTAAGATAATCTACAACAGCAATGTTTAAACATAATGCTTCAGTGCCATGAATAAGATGATCTCCATTATATGTATAATTGTTCCTAATCATTCCAACACTACAGTATCTTCTTCAAACACTATATTACAAAATATTCCATTGCATTTGAAAAGCAGTGTTTGTGTATCTGTGACAAGTGTTCAAGAAATGTAGCAAGGTAGACAAAACAATTCAATTTGGATACTAGCAACATGTATAATGCTTTTCTATTTAATGAAAAAAACAAAAATAAACATTTTCACTTCCACAATATTAGAACTTGTATTGTTTACTCTCACATAATGTACCAGTAATTGGCTGGTAATGTACATTGTATATGTATTATATGACATCGGTTCCGGAACGGTATGTATATCGGACCAGACATTCGGTCAAGCTGTATCACATGAACCAAGAAATAGCATGAGTATATATTTCATTGACAACTTTGTACTTTTTCCTAATACACATTTTTATATGTGAATTAACCCTTCAATCCATCTTCAGATGCCAAAGTTTTGTTTTTGTCTGTCACTTGAATAAAATTTGATAAGAATAATTGGCAATACATCTTCCTTGCAAATTTTTGGCAATGGATGCAAGTCTTATATTGGAAAAATGATGATTTTAAAATTAAAACATCTGATGACTCAATTCTGGTTTAAATTAAATAATGAATTGTAGATCAAGAGATGAAAAATAACTTAATTTATTGAAATAACTTGTGTTATAAGGAAGAAGATTACCATGAAGTAGGCTCATTTGATAAAAGGAACAAACAATAAAACTTTTCATAAAAAGTTCAAACATACACACATGTCCAGATGTCCATCATCTTCGTATCCTGTTTTTTTTATTTCTATTTTTCACCAAAATGTCATTCTCGTTCAGAAGAAAATTTTATGTAATAAATGTGTGTTTCTGGCCCACTGTATGATGAAACAAGCGTCTCTGTGATTAGTTGACGGAAGTGCAGTCACAATTTTGACATTTCAGTTGATAGAATTTGATGTCGTATCTATGAGCATTTTTAGGGAGAAAAAAGAACAGGTGTTTCACTGCTCAGATTTTAAAAAAAATTAATCTTATAATATGAACACATTTAAATTCATCAATGTATTTGTTTGGTTGAAATATCTTGATGTAGCGATGCTAGTGAGATAGCTATGGGATTCTTACGGTGTCCAAAACTAATGCGCCAAGGATACTCCATTTTTAATTATTAGGCCTACCCTTGAAAACAACAGATCTACTGTCCATTGATCCCTTTTTATCAACACTAACCCATTACTGAACAATGAAATAAAATCGTCCCGTCAAACAATCTTTATCAGTGTAAAGACATGGACAGCGATTTTCAACCGTGCAATTGCGCATCTGGGGGCCTCTAAAGACAACGATCAAGAGAAAGGGCCACGCCCACAATTTGTCATTTTAACTTGTTAACAATATTTTGTTTGCAGTCAAGATTTCTATCATCTATGGAAGTCAAAATCAGTATTGAAAATGTATCATTACTCCACTTATGAGTTGAATAATTACCCTTCAATTCCGCCGAAGTAGTCGTACGTGCTGTCACCCGACATTTCACTCACTTTCTGTTATTATTATCCCTCCCGGCTACAAAGATATTCCAACACTCCCCCGGTTGTTTTCAGTTTTTCTGCTGCAAGGGAGATAACTTACGTAATAAGAAAATCAGTCCGGGCGAGAAAAGTCAACAGCAACTGATCCGAAGCAGTTTAATCTTGGCGATCCGAAGCAGGTTATTTTTTCAATACGACTTAACTGTTGTAACAGAGTATATGTGAATTGTGCGCACCTAATAACATATACGGAGTCCATTATAAATCAGAACTAAATACAACTTGAATATCAATTAAACGATGACTAATGTATATATATATATATATTTACTACCATACAAAATATAAATATTACAGGAATCAGTACCAATATTTTGACAAAATATGACCCTATTACAATAGTACACGGGTAGTGATTATTTGTGGAAAAAAGCCAAGAAAGTGGGAAATATTTACTAAAATGAGTCTCCCAGAATTATGACCTTTCTAGCTATTTACTTCCATGCACATTCCATCATTTAGTCCTACACAATACATGTATAATATCAGATTTGATGTTTAAGCGAAAATTAATGCCAATCTGTCCTAAATAATAAAACGATAAATCTGGTGGACATGTCTGATGATAAAGGGTTGGAATTGGTTTTATCAAATATAAATATATACACAATGAGTAAATTAAAGGATTATAAAATAGAAGGTGTGGTGGATGAAACGTTAACCACACAGAGGACGATAATAAAGACTTCTAAAAAAATCATTGATATCTCACACAAACAACAGTATAATATATATCTTGTCTATTAATATTCAGTCTGGAAGGATAACTCCATTATATCAACTTAAGTCAATTTGATATTTTCACCAAATAACTTCATTTCAAAATGACTGAGATAGTTAATTTTAAAAAAAGGGAGAAACAAATCGAAACCGAAAAACAGGTAAAAAAAAACGAAATCAGTCGAAAACAACAGCACAATTATGTTGATGAGAAATTACGGTAAATATAATGGATTATGAGTTTTAGATTCAACACTATCTAAATTATCATAATACTATCAAGCAATAAAAGATATATGTAGGTTTCTAATCATTCCGTTCAACATTGGTTGGTCTTTTCCACTTTTAATACACATATGCAAATATAAATTAAGACATTAATTATATAATCAATCTAATTGTCCTTTAGAAATTGCTATTTCATGTCAATTTAGCAAGGCTGCCAATATTTATTTTTTTAAAATAAAAAACTGACATAATGAAAAGCATAAAAATAACGAAGGGAAACAACTCTTGTAATATGCCGACACTTCTCCTGACAGAAAGCGATGGGGAAACACGGAATGTTTACGTTGTAAATGATATAGCATAGGACGTTTCTGAGAGAGCGTCACAAACTGAGAAAAAGAAATCGAGAGGGAAAAAAAGAAACCTAAAAGGAACAAAGGGAAATAACTCTTGTAACTTATTGTGTCAACAGCCACAGGACAAATACGGAGCACAAAAGTGTTGTACAGCAAAAATTAACACAGATCCATGCTGTGGAAATATGTTCTACCAAATTTTAAAGTAATTGGTTAAAAAAAACCTCTGAAATCATTACCGACTAAGATTAAAATGCTGAAAAAGGGATCAACAACTTTTTAAAAGACTTGTGAATCAAAATTTGTTTAGTAAGATATAATTTCATCTTTTGATGATTGTATAAGTTATGTCAAGTTTGAAACAGTTGAGATGAAAATTGTTGAAAGACAAAAAGAAAATTTTACAACGTATTGATGTTCAGTTATAAGCCAGACTCGGTGTCAGTTAATCATCCATGAGGACGAAGGAAGGCATCGGCCATTAATACTCGTGATACGTGTATAAAGGTGGGATCAGTTAATAGTACACAAAGATGGCTAAAACTTGATAAACAACATTTTATGTTAAATCAAAACATTTTACGGACGTAAAGAAATAGTGATGTTACTTTAATTCTCTGTGGCACTCCTATACTGTGTTGACTAAATTGTCTTGTGCTGCAATTAGTTAGCCGTTGTAAGCTATCAGTGAAAAGTAGTCGATAAGCGATTAAAGATAGACATTTGAATCTAAAACTTATCATTCATCACAGTTTTATTTATTATAAATAGTTTTTATTATTATAGCAGGAAAACATATTTCACTTTGAAATGTCAATAAATTAAGAATATGCATATTGGTAATACATGTGCAATGTTATTGCTTATATTTTCATATAACGAGATTTTGGCGATGTTTTACGAGAGCACAACTTTACCTAGCAACAATCCAACAAAGATGGTTGACCGACTGGAATAGAAACTGATTGCATTTGAATTATGGATGCTATCGGAACGTTGGAGTTGTCGTAAGTAGATCAATCACATTTTTGCGATATGATGAATACTGTATAACAATTCTGCACTACGAAACTGGAGAATAATAATAGTTTTTTAGATAAAATTGCTGATAGACATATAAACAGGTGGTTGCACTTCGCCGCTTGTTTACAAAAATCCTTTAAATTTCCTTTTGAGATCAGAAAACTGAAATTTGTAACTGTTTGCACGAATGTCCCCAAAATTACCCCGTCAACTTTATCATGTTCAAGCATCGCGTGCCTTAATTTTACACGCATTAAATGGCATTTGTATAATTTTATAAATCAAGACACTTTGAATGAAAAAAAACTTGTAAACCCTTTCACGCCTCTATTCTACCACTCATTTTGTTATAATTTAGTTTTGTGTGATCGAGTTAAACATTAATAAAGTTTAAGGAAGACGTGTGTCAGACATCATTATCGTGTTAGTGTTTGCCCCATGCCCCCTTGTTTACATGTACATAACAAATATTTAAAACAGGATGTTTCCTGTCCAGGAATTAGTACTTGGTGACTAGCATATACGTCATTTATCAGAAAAGAAAAATACTAATCCGAGAAATATCACATTTCCAAGTCCAGTGGTACCAGGTACATTTACATTATATAAGACTTGGTAGATTTTTCCAGCTCTCCTGTATATTTATTTTTCAATGACTTTATCATCAGAAAATACTTAAATAGAAGTAAAGATTTTCCACTGATTTTCTTTCACAATACATTAATACAAGAACATAATTGGAAAAATAATACAGTTAGAATTGATTTATTTACAGTTTTTCTATGAATGTATTTCACAATATTTTGACAGTTGGGCCCAAGGCTATTCTGGGACACAAACAGCTTATGTCGACAAAGATGTCCTTTGTTATTTGTGTGGAAGCAATGTGAAGTTTGTTGCTGAAGATGGAGCGGAAACAGTATTCAATTTTAAAGGAAATGGAGTCGGGCCTTTTGCAGTCCACCCAAATGCTAAATGCTTTGCTATTGCTGAAAAATGCCTTGATCCAAAAATATTCATCTTTGTTTACCCAACATTCCGTCAACTTGGAATTATTGAAGGTAAATGTATCTTCATCATAATAAAACTTAATGAAATTGTTATTTGATAAGTAAAGGCATGTTATGTATCCATACAAAATTGTTATATAAATCATACGAAAATACATTTTGTTTTAGCTAATAATACCTTTTTGTTTTTATTGGCAAGCAATTTATTTTCTCTTTGTCAAATGCCTATTGCCTGTATATTTTCAAGTTTTGATATTTTGATATTTTGATACAGGTGGAACCAAACTGGAGTACAACAACATTGTGTTTTCTACCAGTGAATATTTGGCCACAGTTTCTGGTATCCCAGATTTTGAGTTGACTTTCTGGTAGGTGGTATTTTGATTATTTTCCCCAACATATAACGTAAGAAGCATTTTCCATATCATATAAACAATAGTTGTGACCATTCCTTGATTTTAGGTTTGTTTGCAGTTGATACTTTTATGGGGAAAATATGTAAGTATTTGTCTTTTCAGAAGTTAAATATTATAATGCTACAAATTTCAAATTTTTGTGAAGAATCATAACTTATTATTTTTATTTTTATTTATTTAATTTTTTAAAAATGTTTTGCTATATAGCCTGAAAATATTTGGCACATCATCCTGAAATTATAAGCCATTGCATGTAACAATTTTTATTTAATGAAACCTGAACACTGTTTACTGTCAACTATCTACAAGCAAGTAACTAACGAAATTTGAAGTTTCTACACTTGACATTATAAAACAAATATATTATTGTTCATCCTGGATTGAATTTGACCATCCTGTAGCGTAACTATATTAGATAATAATTAGTGCAATTTTTATTCCAGAGTAAGTTCAATATCTGCATATGAATAGTTTCCTTTTGATCCTTTCAGGAAATATACCACTGGTGCTAAATTGACATCTGTACAAATGACCAACTCTCCAGTTAGATGTTTACAATTCAATCCAGGAAACTGGCGTCAAATCTGTATTGGAACTGAAAAAGAACTCACAGTGTGGCAAATGGAACAGAGTAATGATGCATTCATGCTACAACCCCAGTAAGTTTCAAATTACTATCAAATATTATGCAATGTCTACTCTACCATTGTATGAATATTGATTAATACAACCGCTGTTGGATATCAGATTTGTCAACCTGGCTTTAAATTGGTCAGATAAGTCTCATAGAGAAAGGTTTTTAATGAAACTTTTTACTGATTAAATAAGAACCAGGTAAACAAATTTAATTGTAAAATATGATTCATTTGGTGATTATGCAACAAGAAAAGGGATTCAAAATTGTCGATTGTTACAATCCCAGCAGAATATCTGAACTTAATGCTAAGTTTTATTATTTTACCGGTCTGTGATGTAAAAATGATGAATGCTTTGAACTTTCACTTTTGTCTCTGAATATTGATAATTGCATTATAAATATGATATCATCAGTGAACCTAATTAATCACTTTGATGTTCATGAATCATTGAGATAACACTGAATTACAGGAAGGTCAAGTTGCCCCATGAGGATTCCTCCTGGTGGGAAGAAGAGAAGGAAAAGGACCAGAGCATGTCTCGTGCATCAACTCGCATGAGTAGATACACTGTAGATGTTCCTAAGGCAGCCATTGCAGGTCTAGTGGGAGACATGGACGACCATCTGGAGGATATCCAGGACCGGTCACCACGTGTGGTGCCATCTTCCTCAGCCTGGACCACTAGTGGGGATATCTATATTGGGTGCAAAGGAGGCCATCTTTTAAGGGTATGTTTTTATTTTGTGGTGAACATAAGATCGCCTTTCTTTAAACTTTATAATGATGTTATTAGTTATTCTACCTTGCATCTATTTCATTTTTTTTACACATTTTTTTAAAATTTTCAATAAGACTGAATATTGTTTTAAAAAGTTGATAAGAATAACTGTCTTGGTGACAATTCCGTTTGAGAAAGTTTAAATCAATATCTTATTTTGTTTACTGATTTTTGTTTTTATTTATTTATGGTTTTTCACATGAACCTCATTTTCTAAATGACATCTAAATTTGACTTAATGTCGCAAACTTATAGGGGAAAATGCTTTTCTTTAGTTACACGTGGCACTATTCTCCCCTTTTTTCATTCATAGTTAAGATTCCATCAGGATCACTGATGGTTGAGTGGTTAAGGCATCTGATCATCTTTATCACTAATCCTCCAACTCTGGGTCATTGGTTTGAGACCTACGTGGGGCAGTCACCAGGTACTGGCCACAGGTCGGTGGTTTTTCTTCGGGACCTCCAGCTTTCCTCTACCACCCAAACTGAGTACATCCTTTGATGACCCTGGTTGTTAAGGGGATGTAATGCAATAATAATAAAAAGAAATATTTCATGGTTTTTTGTGTTGCAAGTACAGAGAAATATAAAGGACCATGTTTTCTCATCATTGTTTTTTTTTCTTGTTTCATGTTAGTTCAAGTTTCCATCATCAAATTCTGACAGATGAATGATATTTTGTTATGGTCCTTTTAGGTTGATGGTGAGACATTTAAAGCACGAGTGATATACCATCCTCCTCCCCGAGCTGAGACGCCTCTGTCCAGGGCTACAAGTGCTGCAAGTGCCAGCAGGGGTCCATCTATGGCAGATCTTGGCCAGTCAAGTAAGTTACATATAAACACAAGTGTACATATAAAATTTTGCATTAAGGCTGTCATCCTCAATATTTGGAGTTTTTGATAAAATAAAGCTGAATTTGATATGATAGGAATAAATCTGTGAAAAGAGCTTGTTGTGTACACTTGAAGTCTCCAAAATCTTTCAAAGGTCAAAACTTTACAAGAGAGTGCTTATAATCAAAAACTTTCATCACAAAACACCTCTCTCTCACTCTCTCTTTCTCTCTCTCTCTCTCTCTCTCTCTCTCCCTCTCTCTCTCTTTCTTTCTGTCTGTCTGTTTCTCTCTCTTTGCTCTTGTGAAGGAAAATTTTTAAATCAAAGCATGTGAGAAATATGAAACACTAAAAATTTTATTTGTAATTTATATACATTGTGAATTGTTGCACTATTAGGAACAAAGAAAAGTGTTCGTATGGGTACCAATGGTAAGGACATGATGCCTAGATGCTTGTTGTGTATAATTTTTTCATCAGTAGTATGTATAATTGTGTTGACATTACTGGTACAGTGTATTTGTGTGTTAGACTTGGTATTAACATGTGTGTAAGTTTCATAGCAATAAATCTATTTATTAAGTCCATGTAATTAGATTTATTGAAGAAGATGTTTATTCTAAACACAAAAAGATAAATATCTTTTTAAATATATCTATACCAATGAATCTCATTCACAACATTTTATTAGTTTATTCTTATCTAAATGATAAATAAAACAGAAATGATAAATAAGTAAACAAAAATGATAAATAAATACAGCCTACATAATATAAAGAAAATCAATATAGGTGTGTGAAATAAACCCTAGAAATCAAGAAACAAATATTGACAAATAAAAAAATGAGGTTTTGAGGTTAAGAAACTAAATTAGAGAAAATGATTGGCAACAATTCCTTTCAATGAATAATATTATGGCTGAAATCATGGAATGGTTATGTTTGATTGATTTTTGACATTTGTGAATATGGGTTTTGTTTTTCAGTGTATTGTGGTGTTGAATATGGGAAATAACATGTATGCTTTGTTTTATATAATCATATGTGTGTAGAGGTATATGGTTTTAGAACAATACATAAACAGTGTTTTATAGTGCTGAAAAATACCTGTATTATAAACTTGTTTCTGGTAGTTGAAACAAGGATGTTTTATGTGTATCTTGTTCAAGGAATGAAGGTCAAACTTTGTTAGCTGAAAATAGTTATAAAGACTGTTTATACTTTTATTGACTAACTGTACTGATCAGTTCCAGAATTTAGCTTCTACTTTATTTACATGCAAACACTGCATTAGAATTTGAATTTGGTGTAAGTTTAACAGAAAGATTTTGGCAAAAATGTTTAGGTGACATACCCGCCCTAAGGGTTTGAAAACAGAAGACCTTCAATGATTAGCTGTCTTTAATTGATATGTTTCACCATGGTCTTCTCACATTGTATTAAGAGTATAAAACAAAGTTTGACTTTAGATACACAGATTGAATTTCAGGGTAAACTTGCATCTTTGTTTCAGGTTTCCTGTATTTGTCATAATGTGTTTTTTAGCTACATATTTAAACATTGCAAGAAAACTATGTACATATTTATCTTAAATTAGCTAGAATAAAGTAAATTTTCATGCAAGTGAAATTAGAATGCTATAGAAAAAACCAATTAAATATTGTGTTGATAATTTTGAATACCAACATGACTCCTACAGGAGTGAATCAGTATTGTACTTTGGATAAAAAAAAAAAATAGGAAAAACCAATTAAATATTGTGTTGATAATTTTGAATACCAACATGGAAAAAAATCTTTGCAAGAAAACTAACACAATGATGGTATATTAGTTTTTATATTATGATGAAAAACATTACATAAAAAGGTATAATCAAATTATTTGAATAATTGATACAATTGATAAAGTCTCCAGAGAATAGTGAAAATCTGAGGAATCTGATAGCAGGTATATCTCATTAAGGTATCTGATAACAGATGTACCAGGTAGATATCATCAAGTACAAGAGTGTTCCCTGTGCAGAGCTTTTGTATTCCAATATTTTATCATGCATGATGATTCCTTTAATAATTTTTTTTATTGAAACAAAAATTTTGCATGAAAGCTTAGTCATTTTTATTTTTATACGCATTGATAATTAAAACATAATTGGCATGTTTTCATATTTTTCTTTTTTTTATAATCCTTTTTTTTAATTTTTATCTCACTAAATCTCAAATTTACAGAAAACATAAGACAAATATCTTTATTGTTCTGTGTAAATTATATGTTATTTTTACTTGAAAAACAAGTAATTTAAAAACTAGGAGTTTGTAAATTTTTACATCATGATTCATTTTCTAAATTCAGACTTTAACACTTAATATTCATAAATACTGTATTGAAAATTACATACAAATATTGTCAAAGGTGCTCTGTTTCATTCAAAATAAAATCAATTAAAAGCAAAACATCCCTATTTGTTGCAGTGACAGATGATTTTAATGTGATGATATTGGAGGGAAGTTTGGACTGTATCGGACTACATCGTAAAGGTCTTTATGCTGCTGGACAGGTATGATGGACCAAGTTTAGAATACAAGTAATCCTTTTGTAGGTCGAAAAAATCCATTAAATCTTAACCTTTAAGATTAATTAAAACTTGTATATAGATTAAAAATATGTTAAATCTTGTCTTAGGTTAAGATTCAACAAACCCTTTTCATGGTTAAAATGCTAATTTATACAAATTTTTACGAGAATCAATTTTTTATGTAAATTATCCATAAGATATGTATATATCTTCCTTACAGGATGGAGTATTGAGGCTGATAAGTCTGAAGTCAGACGAGATTCAAATCATTGAACAAAGTCGTGTGGGTTATCCAGTCTCTTCATTAGCCTTCTCTCACAGCTATCGTCATATTGCACTGGGCTCAACAAAGGTACTTTACTATAAAAACATTGTAGTTTCAAATGGACACATATTTATAAGTGTAATAAAATGAGAAATGTATACAATTTGTAGATGTCATGTGTAATTTTTCATCTTTTTTTTCCCTAGGAGATAAGCAAAAGGTTTTGTACTGGATACATTAATTTTATTGTTGTTTCCTTAAGATATATTTTCTATTTATTTTTACAGGGATCTTTGTTCCTTTATGAGGCTGGAGCACCTGAGTCTATGAAAATGCTGAAAAGTATCCACTATGGAAACTACATGGGCATGAGCTGTTTGTCCGGAAACGAATATGTCGCTGTAAGTATATCACAACACTGTTGAGTTATCTAGGCTTGAACTAAAACTGAATTAGATAGAAAAAAATACAAATTTATCCACAGATTTAGATAAAGAATCGATATCTAGAAAGAAATTCATCCATGATTTCAAATTTAATTTGAGACAGATAAAAAAGAAATAGTGAAATGTTTTCATGATAAGAACAGTACATTTTTTTATTTTGGTGGATATAATCTTCAATCAAGCCGAGTAAGGAATGGTTTTGACAAGCTATCACCTGTGGACAGTTAATAATTAATAGTGACTTAAAAAGACAAGGTGAGGATAAGACAGGTTTTTATTGCCATAATTTAATAGGGTAAATATTGGGGAGGGGAGGGGTGTGGGGACAGGGGATAGGAGGGGTGTGGGGATGGGGAGGAGAGGTAAGGGGTGTGGGGAGGGGAAGGGAGGGGTGTGGGGACAGGGGAAAGGAGGGGTGTGGGGATGGGGAGGGGAGGGGTGTGGGGATGGGGAGGAGAGGTAAGGGGTTTGGGGAGGGGAAGGGAGGGGTGTGGGGACAGGGAGGGGAGGGGAGCTGAGGGGTGTGGGGATGGGGAGGGTTGTGGGGATGGGGAGGGGTGTGGGGATGGGGAGGGGAGGGGTGTGGAGACAGGGGAAAGGTGTGGGGATGGGGAGGGGTGTGGGGATGGGGAGGGGAGGGTTGTGGGGACAGGGGAAGGGTGTGGGGAGAGGAGGGTGGTGGGGATGGGGAGGGGTGTGGGGATGGGGAGGGGAGGGGTGTGGAGACAGGGGAAGGATGTGGGGAGGGGAGGGTGGTGGGGATGGGGAGGCACTAAAAGACAGGTTGTACTGAATTTATAAAACTGTCATAAATGATGTTTTTTAACTGCTCTACAGAGAAATAGTGATGTGGAACTATTTATAGACCATAAAGCGTTTATGTTTCAGTCTGTGCGTGAGGATGGTGAAGTCCAAATCTGGTCGATTGATAAAGGTTTCCTGCAGTCGTCCATCTCTGTTGGGTTCCAGGTATTAACATACAAATAACTAAGGCCTGATAATGTCCCGCCCCCTGAGTTTTATTGGCTTGGTTTTTAAATAATGCTAGTGGATTTTTTTCCTCTATCTTTTCAAATAATGAAATTTGAACTTTAGACAACATTTACTGATACAATTCTATGAAAGAAACACTTTTTTAAACTTTTTAAACTTGATTTTGAATTGTTTTGAAAATTTCCATACTTTTTGCATTAATATTCTAAAATGAGTGAAAATTCATACTTGAAATAATACAGATTTAAATCAAATCAAAACAAAGTAAATTATTAAATAACTAGCTAAACAAGAAAAACATTAGGATCATTTTGAAATGATGTCCTCAGTAAAAATTATTTTCTGCTGATTTTCCAAAATCATTTTGTTAAGTTTCATGATAAAGCTAGCCAATGATATATTCTTATCTAGGACTGTGAAATTTGCTTTTTCAGATTTTTTTTTGAAATATACCTATCAATATTACATGTGTGTTATTAGGCATTGTGTATCGCCAGTAGTCCCATGGTAAAGGTTGTTGCTGTCGGGGCAGGAAATGGTTATGTCTATTTCCTTGATTTCACTGACATTCAGCATCCTCGTGTCGTCTCCTCTATCCGAATGTTTGAAGTGCCAATAACCCATCTTGTGTAAGTGTTCTTTAGAGAATTGATATGATAATATTGAGTTACTGAAGTTATTTGAAAGAATTCAGATTCATTTATGCCCATACTTCTGCTTTAAATTTTGCATTTTCTGCTTAATATACCATATATTAAGAAAATTCAAACAATCCTGAACAAGAGATATTTAGAGTCTAAATTTAAAATGCACAGTTCTTTCAAAGTAGTAATTTTTTCATAAAAAGAAAAAATGGTAGATTTTTTTCAAATTGAATGCAGCTAGATAAAAATTACTTAATGTACATCTGATTGATTTTGTTCTATTTTGTTTGCAACAGCTTTGAGTCCCATGGACGTTTTCTGCTGATGGGCTCGGACAATGGTAACATCTTTATCCTTGATGGCAGACCTTCCAAGAATTTCTCTCCTATAGGATATACATGTAAGTCCTAGATAGTAGTGGGTTCTGCTGTAATTTTCAAACTACAAATTAAATTTATTCAACTCCAAAACTACTTAAACTGTTTTGAACAAACTACATATAACCATTCCTACTGAAATTTTAATACCAAATTTGTATTATGTAATATCATAAGTATTTGTAGTATTCTACCATACATGTATATTAGAATTTCGAATTCTTGAAAAATATTTATTCAGCCCAGTTAATTAAGCATTACATATACCTATATTACACCTATACAATGTGCTGCAGAATGAATATTAACTACTTTTATTTTCATCTTATCACTTAAACAATCTCAATCTTGCATGTTTTATTTTGTTCCAACAGCCATTGTAGGGGAAATCCAATCCATCTCAACCATTACAGAAAAGGATGTGCTCAAAGTGGCAGTGACAGCCAACAATTCTGGAAACAAACGAAACGGTGCCACAAACCTAATCACCTTTGAACTCTCAGAGGATGTTGTTGGCGGTAAGTGTCATTCATGATATTTGTTAAAATGTATATCTGCATGACCCTCATTTTTTCTGAAAATATTTTATCAAAAAAATTCTGTATAAAAAGAAAGAAATAAAAACCTGATTTTTTTATTTCTAATGACAAAATAAATTTCTTTGCTAAGAATTTCTCATCTATCCTTTTATAATCCAAGGGGACACACAAATTTCTTCTGACTAAAAGTCAGAAGGTGGGCTAATTAATGGACATTGAAATAGCATTTGTTGGTAAATCCACTGAACAGCAATAGGTATGGGTGGATTTAATACCAAACATGGACTTATCACTACGGTAATAGGAATTTGTATAAAAATTTTGCAATGGAAGAGTTGGTTATGTTGATGAACCCATTTAAATTTGTATAAGTATGCATTGAAATTGAATGACCTTGAACTTGTCACTCATTAGATAAATCCAGCTTTAAGGCATCTGACATGGCGTCAGTGTCTGCTGAAGGTAAGTATATTCCCAGTAATACATGCAACCTATTTTATAGGAAAACAGAAGAAAAAAACTAATTGATTTTGGTGGTTGACTTGCTACATAGGTGGAAGTGTGAAAGGTTTTACTTTCCTAATACTGAAGTGGTGCTTTGGTGAAGTGCTTGTTAAACAATGTGATGTTTTTTTCATGAATATGCTATTACTGTTTTTTACTTTCTATAACTTTATCAATAATTCATATTAGAAAGGAAACAAGTAAATGTGGTAATTACATTTTTTTGGACTTACTTGGTATCAACTAAAGGGCCATAACTTTAAAAATATACTTTCAACATAGAAGAAAAAAAAAAGAAAAAAAAACAAAGGTTAATTAATTTTTTTATATTTATCACAAAAACTACAAATTCATATCCGTTTTAAAATATTTGCTTACATCAGATATCTAGCCATGAAAATACAGTAATCTGTATTTGTAATAATGGGTTGTTATTAAATAGTGTTTTGAAATTATTTTAACATTTTTTGTTTATTTTTCCTTTATGTTATGGAGTAGATAAACAAAAAACATTGTTCTTTATATGATTGATAAACAAACTGTGTAATTTTGATGTCAGAATGACAAGGCTTCAAAAGTAAAACCATATCCCAAGCTAACAACAAACTTACAATTTATGATATATACATATGAAAAAGGTGATGTAATAAACTTGCATTTATACAAGTAAAAAAAATGCTATGGAAAAACAGATGAAAAAAATGTTGCTCTCATCGCCTAACCTATCTCAATGTTAAAGCTCCTCTGTTTTCAAATCTATTGGAATGACACTGAGGAATGAAGAATTCAATAAGATTAATATCATGTATTCAGTTGTAAAAAACATTGAATAAAGATTAAAAAACAAAAAATACACAAGAAAAGGATTAACTTGAGAAAAATTTGAAATCTCTGATTCATTTTGGTACTGTTCCATTCGCCTTTAGATTTGAAGAAGAATGTAAATAGTCTGAAATATGACTTCAAGGATGACTCAATCAAGAAGCTGACATTGACTTTCTCCACACCAAGCTATGGAGCAGCCATCGGAGAGAACCAAACAGTGTATACCATGGCACAGAATTCTAAGAGAATTCACCAGATCATTTTACCCTCTGAGACACCAGAGGTGAAGGATTTTTTTATTTATATTTTCTTTCCCCAGAATTCCAAACTTTGAAATTGAATTCTGCTGAGCAGTTTCCAGTAGTTTGAAATACCAAAATTTCAACAAAACAAAAAATAAATAAAGACAAAAATAAAAAAAATTCCAATAGTGTAATCAGATCATAATGAATATCATTAATAGAAAATATTATAAATTATTTAATTAGGAAATAATCTGGAAATATGCAAAAACATTTTGAAAATAATTCAAAATATGTTTTGAATGGTTTATCAGGGAAAGGCTGTGGCTGTTTTACCTGAGGCTGAATTCCAGGGACACCAGCTTCCAGGGGGTAAACTACAGTTGTCTCCCCATGGCAAGTGGCTTGCAACCTGTGGATCAGATGGTTCCGTTATGATCAGGTCAACCACAACCATGGTAAGCAAACTCTTCTTAAATATTTTCAAAAGGAAACTTTTGGGGCTTTTTAAATTCACAAATTTTGACAACTTTTCATATTCTATAACTTTTCATACTAGCCATATTAAGATCTAAAATATTTTTAATTTTTAACATTGAGAGCAGTGAAATGATGTGAAAAGTTGAAGGATGTCAGAAAATACACTTACAATTTGAAATGACTTAAAATACAGTAGATAAAAATTGATATACTTTTGAACTGCCCAACAGACACAGCTGTAAATTTGAATATGTACATATATGTACATCAACCTCGTGATAAATGCACAGAAAAAAAATGATAATGTTAATGTGCATTACATTAAAGATAACATTGATAAATGACAGATTTATTCCTGTCTCAGAGTTACTTCGTTTGTTATTTCAGGATCGTTATATTTCTATCACTCCACATGACTTCCACAATCGTGGAGTGAGTGTGATCGTATTCTCTGAGGATGGTCAGAACATTTTCACAACTGGCTTTGATGGCATTCTCACCTGTTACGCATGGAAGTGAGTTATTTTTTTATACAAATTTTAACAGATGTGTGTCTGGTTGAGAATTGAGAATACTTGGAATATTTGTGTGTAGACAAGCGAAGGCAGGACACTTATATTTTTCTTGATTTCATTAAATTTCTGCAGCAATGTGTGATAAGAAGAAAAAAAATTATATTTTGGTTCATCAAAAATGCTAAGAAATTCTCTTTTAAATCAGAGAGATCATAAACACACTTTAGATTTCATTGTCCTGTAATAAGCCCACCCCTAAACTTTGAATCAGAGATATCAGGATAGATACATATTAGATTTTACTCGGTCGTTAATATTTTGTTTTCTTTCTCTCTATTTTAGTTTTACTGCCACTGGTATTGGGAAGGCAAAGTCTGCCATGGAAGCCTCGCGTGCCCGAAAAACCAAAATGATGACCATCCAAAAAGATGAGGAAGAGGCTCTTGGCGCATTGTCTGACTGGATGCCTTCGGCTGGATCACGACCTACATCCACCACCGTAGATAAAGAGGATAAGGTAAATTAGTAAGGGTTTTTATTAAAATTTTGAATTGTCAGATTTTTTCATCTAAAAGTATTGCAAAACTCTATCACAATTCATAGTATCTTGAATATTTTTTCTTTTATGAAACAAAAATGAGATTACTGGAAAAATATTAATTCAAATGTCTGAAGCATTTAAGTTATATTAATTTCTCAATTGTTGCTTCTTCTGTAAGTTATCAAAACATTTTGGCTAATGGCACACGTAAGGAATGGTTTAGTCAAGAATAAGGTATCTTAGTAGAAAACAATATTTTCTTTGATGGCCTGATTAGGATGAGATACAATACTCACATACTGTATAACATATAAATTTTTGGGGTTATCTTTTTTCAGGGTTTTTTACTCTGAAATGATAGCACTAAATTACAGTACAGTATCTAAGTGCTGGAAATATGGAAATTATTGTGAATGCAAGGATTCATTATTGCACTTATTTGTCACAAAGTAGTTAGCACTGAATTTGTATTGCACTATGATAAATATGTTAACAGTAGAAAAAAATTGCAAACTATTTTTATATATTATGGCTTTACTAACATTTGACCTCTGTACTTTTCAGGTTGCTCAAGCTATGCAGGCAGCTCGAGAGTCAGATGAAATCTACACCACACCCACACCAGTGCCACCGTCAGATGCAACATGGCTACATATCCAGTCAATAGAGGTATGGGCAGATGCAAAACAAGAAAAAGTACAAAACTTGACTTCATTTATCATACCATGAATATTGGTTTGATATACGTAATATATCCTATCAAATTTAGCATCAGTACTAGGAATTTTGTTGAGCATATGATAATATTTAATGAAAGAAAAAAGCTTTGCAGTCAACAAATGGATTTAATTGGGTCTAAACACTGTACTTTACAATCACTTTGGAATAACTCCCTCTCTGCTGTAGACAGAATTATTAAAACCTTCGATCTAGTAGTGATTATATTTATTTTCATCACTTTTTTTTTAGATTGTCTGTGTTTGCAATTTAGAAATGAAATTTTTGAAAATTAAAAAAAGTGATGAAATTGAAACCACTGTTGTTAAGAAAGACTTTGTGAGTGATGAATAAAGATAATTAAGATTGATTGAATCTGTCATATCTGTTAAAATAGTTTCCATCAATTTTATCTTAAACTTAAGAAATAGCATGAGAAACTTCAGTTTTCCAGTCAATGAGGTATTTTATGCATTTTTTTTTTATAAATATTTTACAGAACTTGAAGAAGGAGGACAACCAGTTTGCAGATGTCAAGAAGGACTTAAGACTACAAATTCGAGAGATGAGACGAACAGTAAGGATCAATATTTATTACATATAAGATGGTTATTTTGCAGCAATTTAATAATGTTTTATACCATCAGTGATTATAAGATTTAAAAAGAATGCAGAATTGATTTAAAAATAATTTAATTTTTGTTGTTTTAGATTCAAGGAATGTTGAAACAGAATGAAGCTCTACCAGACATTGAGAAACTAGGTCGCCATGAGTTCGACCTTGACATTGAAGAACAGAACAGACTCCAACAAGAGGCTGACAATGAAGTTCAAAGGGTAAATATCCCAAATATATTTATAGCTATGTTAAGTCAATGAAGGGGAAAAACAGACTGTTCCAAAGTTGACTTAAAATACTATACCTATGAACCTATGATTTTTGTACAACAATAGGTCCACCTATATCTATTATGATTCAATAAATTGATAAACAAATGCTGTACAATGTATGTCTGTTACATTACAAGATCCCTCCTCTACCCAATCCCCACCCCCACTTCAGTTTGAAAACAAATTCAGTAAAGCTGTATTGAAAAAAATTTAATCACCTATTAACTTTGTAAAAATAGACAAAACAGGTCAATTTTATTGAAATAAATTGGTGTCAATGTTACTGAAGCAACTGTTACAAAGTCAGCTGATTCAACGATAAGGATGATATATTTATTGTTTCCTTAGGTGGAGGAAGAGATTGAATTTGATAATTTAGCAAAGATTTATCTTCGTGAGATGATCAAGAAAGAATGCTGGGATGAAATGAAAGTAAAAGGGCGATCCATTCAGGTATGAAATATATGTAAAAGTGTAGTATCTTATTAAAGTATTTCACTGTAAAATCTGTCATCACAATCTGAAAAATATCACTAAAAAGTTGAAATTTGAGTTTTCCAAAATAAGTTTGTTTATATGTTATGTACATAAGTCTGTTGTTGCAATGTTTTTATCAAAGGGAAAAAAAGGGTTATTGTTATCTCAGTCATTAAAACAACTCAAGCAGTTTAAACAAAGGAAACAAAAGGCACAATTGTATTATGATAAGATAAAACATAAATTAAAAATATTCCAAATTCTAAAAACAAATACTATATGACTCTGTTGTAGGCTTTCCGTTCGACACTGGAAGTGAGTAACTTTCCGATGCAAGAGAGACCATTAGAGATGGAGAAACTTTTACAAACCATTACAGTCCGCCGACAGATTGAAGTGGCAGAATTGGCTGTAAGTATTTCTGTTTAAAAATCAGTTCCACTCTATCTCATTTGAGATCCAAGAGATTATTTCAGAGAATTTTCTGCCCCACTGTGTAGTGGAAACAGAGTTTTCATCAGTTTATACAATATACTGGTAAAGACTTCACATTTATCTGTATTTCAAATTATTATCACTACCTTACATATAGGTCATTGTAACCTATATTTTCTACTGACTTTAAATACAGAGTTGTGTTTTGCTATGCTTCTTTTCTTGGAAATAAGATTGAGAATATTTATTTTCTAATTTTTTTCTTTATTTCTACTGTTTTGAATTTTGTTTTGTCTTTTTAGGCAAGAAAAGCTGAGATTGAATTACCTCAGAAACCCACTGGTACAACCACTGCGGTAAGTCAATCATTCTAATAAAGATAGAAAAATCAAAAACCAAAAAACAATTAAATGAAAAATGAAATTAGGAAAATTGTTTGAGACTTTTTAAAGTTTTCCTATTTTCAGATTTTGAAGGTAGAATTTACCGAAGCTTTTTTTATCTTTTAGATGCAATGATAAGTGGAGGTAGAATAGAGTTAACCTTATTTAATACGGTTGGGATTTTCTTTCATATCTCACACAGCAGTTATAGTCAAATACTGGTCTATATACCAAACCTGACATTAGTGCCAAATGTAATATATAACACTGGCTTTCTGGTGTGATATTAAAATAGATATGAGAGCTATAATTGTCCTTTAAGTCTAGAAAACATCTGTCAATATTTCTAGAGAATAGAGCAATACATTTAACTGAAATTAGAAAATATGTGTACAAGATACTAAAGAGTAAAGTGCATTATGATCATCTTATATCTGTACAGTCTGGAAATTTATTGTAATATCAAACTTTGGTAACTTGAAAAACAATATGACTAAAAATATTTCAATTCATCCTTTTGGATACACTCAGGGTTGAGGTATATTTAATCAGGGGAAGTAACTCTGAATTCTAACCTTTTTGGATAGGGTATCAATTTCACATCATATAACCTATATTTTCATGAACATATATGTATTGCTTCTCCTTGTGTAGCTTTTGCTAAGTATGATTCAACAACAGATGTATGGTCATGTAAGTAACTGCAAACATGGCGTCATAGTAATTTGGAATATTTCAAAACCACTTTTGTGGTCTTAGATAGGCCATCTCAAAATATAGTTTTTTTCAGTTTCAGTCAAAATTCAATCAGTGCAAACTTTGAAAGTGATTAACAAATTCTGTATACCTGGTGTATTGAATTTGATTGATTGAATTTTGGATTTCATGTAAAAATTTTGGCATGTTTTTAGACCATTATGATGTCATTTTTTACAAGCATGGTTGTAATGTTGATAAATTATTTCTTGTTATAATGTATTATGTTCTCACAGGACAGTTTTCATGATTGTCTGATGTTAATTGTCAAAACATGGCTCACTCTACAAATAATATATCACAAAGTTTTTGTTGTGAAACATGAAGAAATGAGGATTCTGTATAAATCTTTCATTACTTCTTTAAGAATTTTTGAAAAAAAGAATCTCTTTTTTTTTAATTCATTCTGAATGAGCCCTGGTATTGACTTTGTTATATATGTTTGATGATCATTCTCCTTTTTTTTCTCTCTTTTTTCTTATTCATAACTTTACTTTTAAAAATGTTCACTGCAATTTTCAAATGGTCTATAGTTTTTTAAGTACTTTTAATGAATATTTATTCACATGTTTAGTAAGACGATTCACATTTTTCACCAACATTTTACAATATTTTCTCTAATTTGTTCACATCAAGAAAAAATGCTTATGTCAATTTTTTTCCCACCAATTCTCTCTTTTTGATAAATAAATTCTAATATTAACTGCTGTGGCAGTCGTAAGAAGTTTCACAAAAACATAGGTCAATTTTATGAACTCTTTCTTACTATCTGATAAACAGCATCTGTTTTTGCTAACTGGTCTGTTATTTTGTAGCCTTCACAATGATATATAAAAAAAACCTGATAGTTTATTTGAAGAACTTACTCATAATTGAAATTTCTATAATTGCTAAATAATTCAATTGATGATAAAGTCATGTTTAATTCTTTATGAAAAAGAATTTATAAAGAATAAAATAAGAAATGTGATCATTTTCCATTGCTCTTAGATTTCTTACCTTTTGATGGAAATTTTGAAAAAAAATATTTTCAGTCTATGTTACTTTTTTTTTTGTATACAAAATTTTAAAATAATACATATATATCTATATTTTTTCAGGTTAACCTGATGATGAATTTTTTTATATTTACACAGGAAGATGATACAGGTGAAAATGACGATGTTGATGAAGATGGCAAAGAGAAACCCTCTACCACAGGAAGTTTGGGTAAGTCAAGACGAGGAACTTGTGTCAGAGGTGGGATGTATACAAACACCCATCTCAACACATTAGCATATCATGAATATTTATTGTGTAATTTCTACATTGTAGTGTACATGTTGTAACATGGTTGTTGTAGTAATTTAAGTGTTGTTTGCTGTAAAATTTTAATTTTCTGCACATACAATATATTCATTAATCTATATTGATCACGGTCACAACAATGTTTGTATAGTAACCACACTGTCTTTGTCAGTAAATGTGATTAATTGGCCTCGTATGAATTTTCTTGATGTCTGAGATGTTTGAGATTTGTTGTTAAACCTGTGTGTTGTGGAAAGTGTTGGTAAACTTAGATAACTGTTGTGATGTTTAGTTTTTAGAGAAAACATTTGTGGTGATTTAATTTTGTTTGTACAAGATTGTTTAATTGGCTTTATTGGTATTCTCGCTTCATTGTGTTCAAGCAGAAATGGCATGAACATCACAGAAACCGTCCTCACATGAACTTGAATTTTTTGTTCATCTGTGTTGTTTTATATCAATATTTCAGGAAATAACTTAGGTAAGTAAAATATAAAAGATATATCTAATTAGAAAAGACTTAACTATTGTAGACCCAGAAAATATCTTTATATATCCCAGGTAGTGTTATGAAACCCCTATACTCACAGAACAATATACAATTAATATTTTATTTTAATCAACAAAAGTCCATGTGATCCATCTTCATGTTGCAGTGAAGATGGTTTTGTAGTCTGATTGCATACTTTTACCCCACGATTTTACTGTACACTGGATGGGGTTCCTATTTCTCCAGATTTCTATTGTAAAAAGGGAAGTAGGTTTTCACCATCTGTGAAAAAAATATTTTATAATTTTCCATGCAAAATTGATAAACACTTTTATCTAAAACTTCATATCTTTTATAAAAGGTGATGGTGCCCATCCAATACCTAGAATTTCTGGTCAAAGTCATATTTACAGAGTTGCAGCCCTTTGCTCAAATCGGTTGTGTAGTTCAGGATATATATTAAATTCAAGAACTCAAAATTAAAAAATTAATGTGAGAACCTCTTTTGACAGTGGAGTATCTCATAATAAAATCAAGTCTCAATCCTAATTATAAAAAGTTATGCTGATAATTTTTGACTGGAGATGAGGGTTTGTCACTTTCTTGTAGCACTCAGTTTTTTCACTGTATTATAGCAGTGAACAGTTCCAATCCATCAACAATTCAAGAGAGGTTACAATATTGAAATCATGAATCCAACACTCATGGTACGAAAATCAAATTAATATTTGGGGGAAATGCTGTACTTTCTATATAAGCTGCCAGTTAGCAACATCTTACAGACGCAAGTTAGATACCAGTTTACAAAACATCTTTCATACGCAAGTTAGATACCAGTTTACAAAACATCTTACAGACGCAAGTTAGATACCAGTTTACAAAACATCTTACAGACGCAAGTTAGATACCAGTTTACAAAACATCTTACAGACGCAAGTTAGATACCAGTTTACAAAACATCTAACAGACGCAAGTTAGATACCAGTTTACAAAACATCTAACAGACGCAAGTTAGATACCAGTTTACAAACGTTTTTGTTGATATTCTTTTATTTTCAGTTTTGATTTCACATTTTTTATTTCTGTTTCAAATTTTATGTTTGGTTTGTGGGTTTTGAACTATCAGATCAGTCCTTCTTTGATAACAGTGAATGCTTATCATCTTTCTTTTTCTCTTTTTACAAGGAATTTTCTTCATTCTTCATCTTCAATGAGAAAAATCATCCTCTATAAAGGACATGCATGAGTTTTAACATTTCAATACTCTCTCTCATGAAAGCTTATTTAATTGAGTTTTCATAAGTGCATGAAAATATTGCTTGTCAGCCATTCAGTATTAATCCCAGCTGAAATGTATTATTATAAGCCTGCATGTGGAATGTATTGTATCAGTAGAAGCAGGCCTTGCATGAAATTATCATCATCATCCTGTCTGTCTTTTCATCTCTGTCAATATTGTATTTCGACGTGAAAACTTTTGATATTACGCTTCTAATTTCACAAAATTGCAGAATTGCAAGAGTTATGTCTCTTCCTCCAATTTTCAATTTCTCAGAAACAATTTCCTATTTTAGGATTTTCAACTGGTCTACTAATCTCATTTTCCTGAATTTGAAGGGTTCCTTTTTTTTTTTTCTTTTTTTTGTTAAAATTGTGAAAATACTTCATTACCTCAGTACCTACTACGTGTTCATTTTTTCATCTTGGCCATTTCTTTAAGGTGATTTGTGAAAGTTTTAGATTTATACCAGTTGCTATATGTGTATGTATGTATTTTGTTGTTATCTTTATTTCAGCTACAGATATTGTGCAATAGTTATTCATATTTCAGATTTACACATGTATAATTGCATGAATTCCTGATGTATAAACTAAATAATTTAGTGATTAATATTTGCTGTAGAATGGATTTCACATCATGCGCTTATATAATTTAATATAAATCCCTGTTAATGTAATATCTCTTAGTATCAAGGTGGATAAATACAGTTCATGTACCAGTTAAATACTTGTCATATTTTAATTCAAATTGTTTTTTATGTAAACCTATCTATGCCAGCATATGCATATGTCTAGTATGATATTATTCTGTTTTACTGATAAATAAAATCTTTTAAATCAAAGATTTTGAAAATATGTTTAGACTACAAAGTGCAACTTAATAAATATATGCTAAACATATAGAATAGTAATGTAGTTATTACAGAAATGGCAATTCTTTTTATGACTATAGCTGGAGCAGTCTTAATTTATATCATATTTTCTTTTTAAGAAAATGATCAAAGTCAACCATTAAGTTTGGGTAAATTTTGTCTGTTGTGATGACAGACCATTTCTATTTTCTTTATAAAATCAGTAGAAATCATATTAATCTGTCATTCTTGGTTATGGATTTCAGACTTAAAGCAGATTTAGAAATTTGTCTTATCATTCTTGGGTGTGGTCTCTTAACACTGAAACAATTTCACACAGCTGTACTGAAATATTACACAACTATCTGAGGTCATGGATATGTTATACTTCTCTCTATAGTCCGATCACAAATCAGCTTTCCTTAAAATTTCTCTCAGTTTCCAGTCACACACAGTTTTTAGTTAAAGAATGGAACCTTGTTTATCTCATTTGGATTATGTATCAGGAAGGGGTGGGGGGAGGGGATGGTGGTGATGTACCAGGTAATGTAATATGCGGAAATATCTTTTTATCTTTTGCCAACATTAACATGTAATTCTGTTTTCTCAAATAGAACTATTTTCCCAGTTATTTGTTTAATTTGAGACACAATTCTTGTTTAAGGAATCTTAACCTTTTTTATCATATATCTCCACTAAATTGTTAACTAAAAGATTCTTCAAAATTTTTTTTTGTTTTTTTTTTTGTGGGGGGTGGGGGTGGGGGTAGGGGGGGGGCACTTTGCTTACTCAGCAAGAAATTCTGCTTTTCTCTTTCCTTTGAAAGTGAAATGGTGAGATTGACTTGGTTCCAGCATCAATATCAAGAAGACATATCTCAGTCATTGGGTGTGGTGTCCTACTCCTAAAATTTCCAATTCATGAAATTGCTAGTGCATTAGAATGTATACAAATGCAAGTCATTTTTGATAAATATTACATGCAATACTTATTATATATGATTTGATGTCAGATTTCAATCTTAAGCTGGATTTTTAAATTGTTAACTTCATTATGGAATGAACACCATTTTCATTATTTAATTTAATCCTTTTATCATTTCCATGTTTAATTCAATTTTCTTTTTTATCATTATTATTATTATTTTTATGCTTTTTTTTTATTTAAATTTGTTTGCACTTTAAGATTTTTTAATCAGTTTCTCAATTAAAATAAATTTTATTTTAGATATTCATTTCTGATTAATCTGTAGAAGGTTTTATATCTGTTAATTAAATTGCTTTGAGCTTTTCTACATTTACTTCAATACCAAATAAAATTTCCTTAAGTTTGTTTAACATATAAAAATTATTCTTATTTCTTCAGATTTGCTTTATTTATTTAGATTCCGATAATAATTTGAATTTCAAATCAGTATCTTAACTATGATGTACAAGATACTCAAACCTACCTGGCTTATGATTCAAACCTTTGAAAATTTGGATGTGTTGAGTCACAAATAAGATATAAAATAATAGAGATCAAGTTATACACAGTCTCAAATAAATTTGTCTATTTCAGCAGTAGCTGACAATGTTTTTGTTGGAGACTTTCATTGATTGTATTTGAATGATTTTGAAATTCATATTTAACACCATCTTTTATTTAGAAATTTATATTTGTCTTCACTTTAAATTTTGTTGATTCTAAGGCAAAACTTTCCTTCCACAAATACAAGAACATTTTTTTTAATTTTCGTTTCTACACTTGATAAAAGATCCAGATTCTCCTACCAGTTTACATTGTCTGCATTATCTCTAATATTGTTAAAAATCATTTAAAACATTTTTAAACTATTTTACTTTTCCTGTAAAAATACATTCTCTGTCATTATGTCAAAATACTTAATGAAATCTGTGAACTTAGTGATTTGAATTTTTTATTGTTGTTTATTCAAAAAACTGAAACCTGATTCAGAGTCCTTTGTCTTATTTGACCTAGAATATAGAATGAAAATCATATGATTACTCTGAAGAAAGCACAATAATAAAAATTTTTTACAGATACCATTGTTACAAATTCAATGTTCTGATAAAAGTATTTGTCTCTGCACAATATAGATAATGTCTAACTTTGTATTTGATCAGGTGCCATGTTTGGAGGTGCAAACGAGTTGTTCTACAGTCAATTTGACCTGCACACCAGGGAACAGAAGACCACACAGATCATACTGTTAGAGGTAAGAGGTCATCATAGAGGTCAGGCGAGGTTAAATTTGGTATAGGTCATGAGTGGTGAAAGGCCAAGAGAGAGGAATTCCTTGCGAGGTCATTAGAGGTGTAAGGTTGTTAAATGGGGAATCTTTGAAAGGTCATGAGAGAAGTAGGGTCATTACAGGGGGATTTCTTGAGAGGTCATGAGAGGTACAAGGTTATGATGGTCAGATTAATGGAATTAAGTTTAGGTTTCAGGGTATTGAAAAAGGGAAAATAAGGAATTCTTTTATTTTAATTGTATTTTTTATTGGTAGCAAAGATTTATATTTTACCAACAATTTAAAATCTTCAGGAATCTGTGAATCAGTTGCACTCCATTTGGAACCTTTTCATGCATTAAATTTTAGGTTTGGAGGCAAGAAAAGAGGGAGAGACAAAAATTTAAAATTGACAACTAATTTGATGCATCCTATTGTCTAATGATACTGTGATTTTGTTGTAGGATGCTATCCATAGGATCAAGCTTACCTTCAACAAGGAGTTCGAGGAAGTCTACCAGAGAAAGATACAGGATATTTCTAAAATCAAGGAAAAGAACAAGAAAATCTTGAAGAACATGAGAGATCTCAGTATAAATGAGGAGATTATTGAGCCAGAACTAAGTGTTCTGGAAAATCCAGAGAGTATTCTGACAGTGGATGATAGCGAGGTAAGCTGACATAGTGTCTGTGTCCTAGTTTCACACTAAATACTGACTTTGTGATGAATTTCATAAATCAGATGAAAATAAAAATATGATCCTTCTTAACACTTGTTTGACTAATTTGGCAAACATTCCAGAAAATCTTCTTTTCCATGTAAAGTCTGAAATCATCTCTTCTCAATCATTGGTCTTTGATTATTGATGTGTGTGAGTATGTGACTCAATTTCATTGTCCACCACTGATGTCACAATCATATAAAAACATGTCTGTACCTAGAAATATTACATTGGTATATTCACTGAATATCATGACAATCATATGCGGTGAAATGACTTTCATAAAAAGCATTTGTTTTCCTTGTCTGAAACTGACCTTGACTTTTGAAGGAATTTCCAATACTGTCTTCTTTGGGGCTCTCTTTTCAATCAACAAGTTTTACATGACTTGTCTCTTTACAATCTATTTGGCCATTAATTCATTGCACTGAATTTTCCCCAAATCAGACCTTCGTTTTTTACATAATTAATGTTTTTTATATCATCATAATATGTTATTTAGATACTACATATGGTGTATCCAGTGACCATGCAGTAGGTTGTTTTTACCGGGCACCCCCTAATTACAACCTCGGACTTGTAGACTAACACATTACGATTATCTACAGGCTCCATTCAGGATACACTGTTTAAATAACTTCAAATTGTCTGTTGTAATTAATCTATTTACGTATCCTCTGACCATGCTAGCTCCGCTACATACAGATCAGGCTGTCTCTGCTGGGCTCCCCCCATTGACAGCCTCTGGACTTGTAGACTAACTTAAGCGATTATCTACAGGCTCCTTTCTAAGGATACACAAATATTAATCACATTGCAGAATCTGCTATCAACTGCCTTACACAGTCATACAGAGTAGCCCCTGAGAAGGCCATATGTTATAGAGAAATGTACATAAGTGTTTTACATATGTAGTAGTAGCAGTAAATATTATTCATTTACTTCAATCTTTTGTTGTTTGTATAAAATTAGTATATTCACTGAATATCATGACAATCATATGCGGTGAAATGACTTTCATAAAAAGCATTTGTTTTCCTTGTCTGAAACTGACCTTGACTTTTGAAGGAATTTCCAATACTATAAACATGCAAAAATTCCAATGCATATTCTTTTAACAGATTATTGAAATAATGAAACGTTACACCCAAAAATTCAACTATAAAAGAAGTATGCAAAACTTACAATCAACAGCTTCATAATTTTGTATGATGCCTGTAGTGAGAAAAGTTATACACTTTTAAGCAATTATTTCAACTGGGAAATTTGTACCAGGGGATTGACCAAATTTGGCTGATCAGCTTAATTTAGCTTTTCTTTTGAATTACTCATTTACGATGTTCAAAATGAATTTAACCAAATACAAAAAAAAAAGAAAGAAATAAAAATAAATAAATACCCAGTTTGGTTTCGGGGACAGATTTCAATTTTTCTATTCTGTTTTAGTAGTCTGAGTTGCTGTTGAATAAAATATCACGGGGAAATTTGGTGGATTATCATTATGCTGTTTTATATTTGTGTAGATTAAGGTGGAGAAATACCTCACACCAGCTCAGAGGAAGAAGAAAGAGATCCAGGATAAACTAGATGAGGAAAGAAGAGCTAGAGAAAAGGGAGACAATGCTCGTGAACGTGGTCTGGATATGATGATGGGTGGAGTTCTGGAAATCAAGAAAGAAGATGAACTCAAAAAGGTTTGTGCAAAATGTGTCATGACTTCTGCGACCATCTTAAGCTGTAACACATGTGCAAAATCCTAGTATTTCTCTCTATATATTTTTTCATAGTTCCATTGACTTTTACATAGTGTGAATGTTGATATAGAGTAAGCTAAGCGTAAAGGGAGTTATATATCAATCATCTTTTAATCTACAAACACACTTTCCATATTTACATAGGATGTCCCAAAGCCTGCTTTCATGTCTTTGAAAGAGGAATCTGACTGGACAGAGGATGAACAAAAAGCTGCCAAGGAGTACGAGCGTAAAGTGAAGGAGCTGAATGAAGAAAGGGAGAAATATCGCAAGGTATACTTTCATTTAAAGTTACACAAGTATATTTCTGGATGAAATATAGCATTATGAGGAAACAACAAGAGGGTAAAATGGTAACATGTAGGTGTATCTCTTGGTGGCATATAATGAGGAGTAATATATAGACTATATTATTGTTGATGAAAAATCGTCTTCTTGCCTAATCGAAAATGATGAAGCATCTTTTGGGGAAACTTCAACCATATCTGCAAAACAAAATGAAAAATTGTCCCAGTGATTGACATTAAAAGATGCACTCAATAAATTGCTATAAATTTGCCTAATTTCTCCTGTTAATGAAGACAAATCTTCCAACCATTCCTGTAATGTTTTCCACGTAGTTGCTTGGCTTACTTTTTTAATTGTTTGTGTTGTACAGCAACTGGAAGCAGAACTTCGTAAGATGCAGGGTGTCATCAGTGACAGTATGACACTGTTTGATGAAACACTCAACCAGTTGTTCATGAAGAAAATCAAGGTCATGATGGTTCTTTATCAGGTAAGCTGAACTTTGTTGTCAACATTTAAGATCAACACTGACCACTTTTAAAATAAGAGGATTTTGTGCAAGATATCTTGTGAAAGCCGCAACAAATTCAGTTCATGAGTCATTGACTTGACATCTTGAATATTACCCACAATACTCTTCTACCATGATAGCATGTATTTGAAGTGTCACAAATAGCTGTATGCCTTTGTTTAATATTTTAAATAAATTTTCATTTAACATTTATAACAATATTCATAGGATAATAAACTTATATATCTGGTAAGAAGCCCTCCCACACCTTGTGCTGTTTCAATTAAAATTGAATTCAATTAAAAATTTGAGCAAATGCTATGAAGGTGTCCAAAAATAAACCCACCTCCCTAATTTGAATATGCATTGTCTCTTCGAATTCTTAAAGAATAAAGTATTGTGATGTAAAACTCATTCCTCATTTAGATAATTTTTAGATAATAAAAGATTGAAATACCAGATAATACAGAGTTCAATTTTATTGCTGGTTGTTCTTTTGAAGTATGAATCTTGGAAATGGACGTGTTGTAATATATTTCGTTCTTTGTCTTTTTGTTTCCAGGAGGAACTGAAGATCCTTCGTCTCCGATACAACCTTCTGTTGGAGGAGGAGTTGGAGACACGTGAGAGGGACCTCAACCATCTTCTGGAGCACAAGAAAAACATGAAGGTAATGTTCCACTGATGAATTGAAAGACATCACTCAGTCATGCAATATTCAGAAGTATCTATAAAAAGTTTGTTCAATTTCTTACACAAGAAGAATGCAGACTTTTTCACTTAGAAATGCCTAATTCTATTTTTTTTTTTTTTTTTGTGAGGATTTTGGTTTCTTTCTTTTTGGGTAGAGCAGTTTGTATACAAGTAGTTTTTGGGCATGCAAGCTAAATCAAAGGTCTTTATATATTCTGTCCAATTTTTATCAATTTTTGACATGTTACTTTATCACTTCAATAGGGCCCTTGGAATACCAAGCATAACTCTGCCAATCTATATCTTGTACACTGCACCACCTACAATTGTCAATTTTACATTAGAGTAACTTTTATAGTAGCAGTGTCCCTTACAGATGTCGGATTTCACTTCTTACCATTAACAGAGTTCTGATTTTTTTTTTAAAACATTTTTGATACTAAAGTTTGCTAGAACGTTAGATTGTTTGCAAAGTTTCTATTTTGTTTTCAAGGTAGTTCAGATTTACTTACTAATTTCTGGCCCTTTCATCATTTTGTAATTGAAGTTTTATGAGTAAGGATTGTTCATAATTGTCAATGTGTTCGGATTTATATGCCTCATTCCTTTAACCATTTGTAATACTGAAGTTAAGAAAAAGATGAGTTATTGATGAAATGTTTTTGTATCATTATTCTATTCTCACTTGAATCAAATAAATTGCCAGACTTATTTTTAAAGATATCACTGATATTTTTTCGAAAATTTAGGTGATCACTGCTCAAGCCATGATGGAGTCCAAGAAGCATGTTGATGCCTTCAGAGAACAGTATGACATTCTCCTGGCCGAGGACAAGGTCATGGATAGATCATTCAAGCGTGAATTCCATGATGTCACAGCACTGCAGCAAGACCAGCTGTACAGACTTTTCCGTAAACGCCCCAAGTATGTCACCATTTTCTTTATTTTTGTATCATTTAATTTCTTGAGTACTATCCATCCATGAAATCAAGTGCCTGTGAAAAGAATTTTTTTGAAATGAAAGAAATGGGAATCTCACCTAAATTTATTATTTCACAGTATCCATTATTACATGTTAGGATTTGGAGATTGAAAGTTTCATTTTCTTTCATATATGGTATCAAAATGTGATCCATCAAAGTTAAAACAGAAGAAATAGTGATTATATCTTGCGATGTCGATTCAGACATTATTTTCAAACATGGCGTATCAAGTTTACTGTAGATGTCTTTAGTATGTATAGAGAATCTCTGTTAGCTTTGTCGTCCATTTTTTAAAGGCTATCAGCTTTAACGTTAGAGATTAAAATTTAGATTTGATAAAAACACAAAATTCAACAATTTGACATGAAATGGCAGGGTTCCACGTCTGAAGGGATACGATGCCCCAGCACCTTCCTCTGTCGATCCTTCCATTCCAAATCCATTTGCGGATCGGCCTTCCACAGCGAGTTACAACACTCGTGCCAAGAACCAGCTGGAACACTCTATCGCTGATCTTGATAAGGACATCAATGCTCCAGAGGGCATCGAACTCCACATCTGGCAACGACTGTGTAAATACCGTCGGGAAAAGATTGAAAATGATGTCCTGGTAGGTATCTTTTAATGACTTGGTGATCATAACACGCAAGTTGTTTTAAACAAATAATTTTGAAAGTAAACTTCAGCAAGCTAGTTAAAAGGTATTGGCCAGGATTTTATTTACATTTTGTGACAAACAAACTATATACATGTATGACTCTTGAGGAAAAATTTATTGTATTGCAGACAAAAGAGAAAGCTCTGATACTGGCTGAAATGGAAGCATTCCTTCGAAAGAGACAAGACGAAGATGAACAAATAAAAAACGATATTGATGGAATTTATGACACTCTCAACAAGTAAGTTGATTGTTGAATTGCAAATTGAATTTCAGTGTGGAATCAATTTAAATTATAATAGATTTTTCTAACCATATTTGGAAAAATTGTGCCTGCTTGTTTTCTGTACCAATTTAACACTGTGAGTTTGTTGTTTCAATCTATGACACAGCGAAGTAGGGCAAATATGTCAATTCTAAATCTAGCATTCCCATTCTAGTACATTCAACTAAAAATGATTATCTAAAAATTTTTTTCTTAAAACACATAGTAGTCTCTTAAATTCAAACTCATTGAATTAAGAATTATGCATGGTTACTTTCCGATCAGACTGAAGGACGACCGTCAACGTTTTAATCTGAACCTAGAAGTGCAGCTGATGCTGAAACAGGGACAGGTCGAGGTGGATACAAGTACCTTCATCCATGACTACAAGGACAGTGCTCTCATCCACAGAAGTGTTGTCGAAGAGCTCAACAGCAATATCAAGGTGAGTTGTCTCCTCTTTCAGTAATAACAAATGGTTATTTCCCCCTTGGTTTATTGTTAATGATTTCTTCTCTATCATTTAATTACCAAGTTTATCACAGATTTTTATCTCCCTTTATTGGCTTGAAGATTATTTCCCTTTTAATATTCAACTCACATATAAAACTTCAATTTCATGTAGTCAGTGTGTTGGGCTTATTCAACATCTGAAAAAGAAGGTCTCCGTACAAATGAAGTCCATGGCATTTTTTTTTCTCATTTTCAGCAACTAGGAGAGAGTAAAATCGCCAGTATGGTTGAAAGTAAGGACTTCCGAAAAGGCATTATACAGCTGGAATGGTATGTATATATGAATAGATAGATTACTGACAAATTGAAAATTGTTTTAAAAATACAAAACTACAATCTCAACTATATCTTTACAATTGAAAACTTACCTGATCATAGGGCTGTCATTGATGTGTGTCTATCAAAATTTACCTTGGATGCACCATGTGACTATTTCCACTAGAAACATCCGTACTGGTCATGTTCTGGAGATAAAAAAGGCTAAAAACCCAATCCCTACAACCAACCTCTTTCTAACTTCCACCCCTTACCCTTAACCCAGAGGGCTAATGAGGGACAGAGCTGAAATAATTCTTAAAACTACTTGTCTAACAGGTAACTTTTGAAAATACATAACTACATTATCAATCAAATATCCATTTAAGTAACCATTCCTCATTTAACATCTCTGAATTGTAAAAACAAATAATGATAGTCTATTAACAACCAAAAATCATATTTTCATTTTTCAAGGGAACACAAGAAAATGATTATGCAAATGGAAGATTTCCAAAACAGAATGAAAGATATTCAATTTATGAAAGTGACAAGAGAAATTCAGTTGGTGAGTGTTGTACTATCAAATATTCCTACTTTTAATTTTTGTGAAGGTAGAATTTTTTGTTGCTGAATTTGTTTTTGTAATTTATGATATTTAGTATTTAATTATTTCCCAGATTTGAAAATGAAATACACTTATTTTCAATAATTTTGCTTGTGTATCAAATTTTGATTGTATATGATCACTATTATAACACATGCATATTCTATGTGCTATGTACCACAAATGCTATACCTAATTTTTTTGAGTTATCAAATTGATCAAAATCTAAAGTTTTGTCTACATTCTGTTTCAGTATTTGTCCAATTCAGACTATGATGGAAAGAAACAAGAAGAGATTGGAAAACTTGAACAAACTATACTGACACAGCTGAGGGTAAGACTTGCATTGTCAGAATTATTAATCATGGAATTAAAAAGATGTTTGCACCTAATATGTGATGTCTGTTTCATTTTGTGAGCAGATTTGATTCTGTTTGGATTGATAAAGCTCTCCTCATCTTTAATTGGGTATTTTCTCTCAGGAAGAGTTTTTTTTTTTAAAGAAGCACTTGAAGTGAAGTTTTTGTTGTCAGATAGGTAAAATTTTATATTTGTTAATAATTTCATTATACATGTAAAATGGTAGAAATGAAATCAAAAAGATACTTCGTCAGATGTTGTTGGTGTTGATTTGTAGCATCATGAAAGGAAAGTTGCAGCCAAGAAACAGCAATTACGGGAACTCGGGAGGACTCACAAATTCAAGGACGATGAAAATCGGGAAATGGACAATGAGCTCACAGAGCTACATGTCACTGTCAATGAGAGACGTCACATTGATGCTGTCAATGGTAAATCACATGTCCTTTGTTGCAGTCGCTAAAATAATGAAGTTAATTGTCAAATTTCCATTTATCACACACTATCCATGATTATGGACCTCAGGGTTTGTTTTACAATTGTCTTCATGAAACAATTTTACACAGGAAACTTTTAAAAGAATCACAAACATTCAAAATGCAAATACAATGTGTTAGAAAAAGCAAGATTCTCATATGAAAATTGCAAATTTGATTTCCTTTTATGTATTCAATTAATAAATTAATTCAGAAACATTTTAGTTAAATTTCACTTAAACATTTAAATCCTATTGAAGATCAGTTTGAATAGTGGCACCTTTTTTCCTGTTGATATTTTTATTTCCACTATAAAGCCATATGGTATAGATATTCAGCTAAATTTTTTTTTTTTTTTACAGCTGATCGGAGATCAGATTTTGGCCGAGAAAGACGATATCAGGAGATTGTACAGAGGAGGAAGTTAGTTGACCTTGCAAAAGCACAGGCACAGGAAGTAGCTGTGTTACGTGCCGAGGTAGAACGACTACGTATGCGAACATTCCCTGCTCTTGTACAAGTGGAACACTAAAGGACAATTGGTGTTTGTGTGACAGTCAAAAATTGTGATATTTGTGAAGAAGGAAGTGAAAATTGACTTGTACTGTCATTGACAGTAAAACCTCGAGATACATTTCTGTATGAAAATATAATGAAATTTTGAGGAAGCCATTGCTTCGAGTGTCTTATAGTCCTCAGGAAATGTTGTAGGAAACTGAACAGACAAAAATGAAGAAAGAAAACTAGAATATAGCCAAATATGTCATTGTAAAATTTTTACTATGTGGGAGATGAAGGAAGTGCTTTATTGTCTTATTAATCTGTGATCTGCTTAGTTTAGCTCCGAGATTTAATTTATTCTGTGTAAATTTGTGTGAAATATTGATCATGAACTCTAGCACATGATTATTTTTCTCATTTATTTATAAACACCTTGGTACATGTCTTCATTTTTATTCTTGAAACATGAGTGCATGTTGAAAAAAAAAAGAAAAGTCAGATTTGAGAAGTGAATTATACAAGAGATTAAAACTTTCCTCTCTCCAAGTCTTTTACACTTAAGAGAAGGCAGTCCAAATTTCCCTGATACCTCATGAGGATGAAAATGTTTCCACAAATTTGCAGCCAATGCTTTTATTTAGAGGCCTGGGAAGTGAAAGTTATATCTCTCTCCTTGCAAGTATACTACACCAAAATTGATCTATTTAATCACAAATTACTACATTTAACTAGTATGGACCAGTATACTTCTCATTAAACTAAATTTGTTCAAAAGCACTTTCCTTTATGCCATTTTTTTTCTTTTTTTTTCTCTCATTTTTTTCTTTCTCTACCTAATTCAAATTTTGATTCATATATAGGTCTTTCTGACACTTCTATAATATGATCAACTTGGAGAAATATAGAAACATTTTCTATTAAATGAAATCAGTATTGGCCTACACTTGGTCATAAATACATTCAGGTGATATAAAAATATTAGGAGTATTATAATATTAATATATAAGCATATACAATGCATTTTGACAGAATATGACATTGATAAAATAAAACCTGTCTATAGAGGCCACCTATTATAATCAATAATAAGCCTGAAGTTGGTCTCTCAAGATGTTATATGGAATGATCATAATGTCGACAATTGCAGTGATTTAAGTTTTTCATACTTGCCTGCATTTTATCTTTTAAAAAAGTGAAAATGGATGGAGTCTTCCATCCACATGTACATGTTTCATTAGACATAAAAAACAAATTTTATTACAAACACTTAAAAGCACTGACATGTGTAATATCTAACCTTATTTTCACAAATTATATTTCTATCTAGCTTGAAAATCAGAATGGATAACAGATCAATGACGTTTTCACATGTGTATTTATTTGTCATTATTTGTACTGAAGCTGATGAATTATTATAAAATGATATGAAAATTACTTTCGTGTTTTATTTTATTCTGCTTCTTCCTTGGTCTTCGGCATTAGCTGTAGGTGTCAGATATTGACATGAATTATTGGTTTAAAAGAAGTATTCTTTTACTGGAAATCTTTGCACATTATGTAGGAACTGACTTTGAAATACCTTGACTTTTGACAAAACATACTAACAATAGCTAGTTGTGTAAATCAAGAAGTTAATTTAGTGGTAAAAATATATCTGGGTAGAGAGATAAGTGAATTTAATGGAAAAAATGTATCTTTATTGATGATCTTGACGTTAAAGGGTCGATGAAATCACCCTTTGTCCGTCTTTCAGCAGTCATCTACTTCATTACATGGAAATGAATATTCGTTTTTTTCTACTAAAGAGAGTGGCTTTTGCAAATGCTATTTCTTCCTATTGGTGGTGATAATGTGACAAATACATTTGTGATTTTATATAATTGTAATGCACAGGCAAATTCAGATTATTCTTTTCTGGTTACAATTTTTAGAAAAAAGGGAGGGAATCCAAGGAAAAGCTGAAAGTTCTTGTGACTAAACACAGGACAAATGGTCTATCCCAATAAAAAGATGTGAAAAAAATAAGACCAACGTCAGAAAAAAAGTTATGATGAATTTCTTTTTTTAATTCAAAATATACAATAAATTGAAAAACACTGTTAGAATATATATATATATATATCTGTACTACTACTTCTAAACCTACAGGCAGTAAGGAGTTTTATAAAGGACCTAAGAAATCATTTTAAATATTTTTGTTTTATTGATCAATAATTTTATCTGATTATATCTAAATTGTAAAATCATTATTGCATATAAAATCTGGCTTACAAAGGTGTCTAAACTTGATAAAATTTTCAACACATTTTGATGAAATAAATAAAATAAGTACATGTGAATGTATGAAAGTACCAAACAAAATTGATCAATTGACTTCAGTAGACAATATATGTCCATTTAATTCAACATTTATTCAAAAGAATTTATTCGTGGTTATGATAGCTCTGTCTTTGACATAGTCACTTAACATATCTGTTTATCAATCTGTCCATTACCTATCCTGGTGGTAAGTTGTACTTGTATTTTTTGAGTATTTACTTACAGGCTGTATAAGTCACGTGATATCTAAAAGGATCACTGCAGATATACAATGCAACTTTTTTCTTGACACTAACTTCTGAACAATTTTTCAGGAAACTTCACATCCAAAATGTCAAAACAGGTCAAAGTTTAATGAACTATAATATTTTCTAAATTAACAGGGCATTTGAAAGTTGGATCATTTCACACTAAGCTTGACTGTATCACTATCAACACTAGACAATGTACATATACATATACATGCTCTTATTAATAGTTCCAACCATCAAAGTTCAAGGTTATGTTCTAAGTAAATGAAACTGGTTTTGACTTGGCATTAAAAAGTTCACCTTTGGAATTAATTTATTTCTTGGAAATCTCATAATTGTTAAGAAATCCACACTTGTCCTGAGAGTTGAACGATAACAAAAAAGGGAAAATTTATGTATCATGTAGTTTAAACACATGCATAAAGATTCTATATTAGAATGTTTTGTAGATATGAACACTAACACACGTCCCACCACATTATTCTGGAGGTGAAAATAAAAACAAACAAAAATAAAAAAAATGCACTGACTGTCAAAAGATGTATAACATAGTGAAAAAATATAAAGCATTATGATAAATAAAGGGAGACAACTATCTGATGATGGTGGGGAAATAAGGAATTTACACATACTTATAAATAAATAGAATATAATGCTGAAATTGAAATAAAAGCAATGATGGCAGTTTCTTCAAACAGGAATTGCCCTCTTCAGAAAATGCCACACTACACCGAGAAGTCTTTCATTAAATAACAGCTGCTTGATAAAGTTAGCAGCTTGTTTTACATAACAAAGGACTACATGTATTATCTTTCATATTCAAGTAAACAATGAAGAATTAAACTACAAAATTTAATAAAAGAAAAAGATATTTCTGTATATCCAGGTAATACAAAACCTTCCAAAACTGAACTAAAGAACACAAGGGCAATAACCCTGTAATATAATTTGATCTGTATGAAGTAATTCTCTTACAAAGAAAAATGCATGAATGACTCTATGAGGGATGATTGACCCTACCTGATTTCACAGTAATGAGATGAAGCTGGAAAAAAAATCCAAGTCTCATTCAACTGCAATAATTTACACTTATTTAAAAGCAACAATCATAAATATATCACAGATAGCGTATAAATAATCCATCAACTCCTTGTCATTTTCAAAAATCAAAATTAATACATGCTATCATACCATCATGATATTAACAATGTATTCCTGTTTGTTTCAGAAATATATCCAAATGTAATAGATATACTTCAAACTATTCAAATTATTGCCATGAATCCGCAGTAGCCATCCTTGAACATATTAAGTAAAAACATTGAAAAATTGTTTATTTACTGGTGAACATTTTCAGTGTCATAATACAAATCCTTGATTTCATGAGGTACTCTAACTACAAAATTTCGCCAGGGTGTAGGTGTAGATATGATTTTGTGTCCTGAAGATAAGCATCTACCAGGAATACATTATGTCCCTACATTCAGAGAGATTATATAATGGTATCTGATAACTCTCCATTCCAAGAGGAAGAAATTCTGTATAACAGGTCAAATTTGACCTTTAGATATGAATTTATGTGATACATCCATGACAAAGTTAGGTACTGTAAACAAAGGAACACAACTCTGTATAAATTGAAAAATGTGACATTTTAAACCAAAAACAAAAAAAAATAACAAAAACAAAATAACCAAACAAACAATCAAAAATATATTCCACTTTTAGATTTTAAATCTCAAAGAATTTGATTGATAAGTTTCATTTTTTGTTAAATGAATTATAATTACTTCAATAAAGTCATGAATACAGATTTTTTAAAAATCAATAACGCAAGTGTTAAAAATTTCTGTAGAAGTAGTATGGATACCAGGTAAGAACTACAACACAAACTGTTTAGTATCTTTAAACTTTTCCATTATTTTCAATAGATATCTACAGGGAAACTTTTTGGACTATATAGAACCATATGTTACAAGTGATAGGTTTTAAAGCATTGGTAGAATGGCTGTAATTACAAAAATGCACCTGGAAATGATGAAAACAAAAAAAAAAGATTTTTTTCCACTCAAATCCAATTAATCTAGTTCAAAATTGTTAGAATTGATTTAAGTTTAGTAAGTTAAGGCAAGGACAAGTTCTATCTTAACTGTTTAAAGTTGTGGTATACGTAGATTCAGTCAAAGCTACAGCAGTTGAACAAGGGTATGAATTCAATGAACCAAATACAGTAGTAAATGTGGCCTAAAATTAAACCCAGACTAGCCTCACATCAAGTTTATGCTTCTTAATGAATCGTTTATAGTCCTGAAAGTTTGAATTGTTAACATTCCAGCATCTGTCAAGCTTCAAGTCTTTCAGGTTGTTGTCAGCATGCAGCAGAGTTTCAATACTTTCAGATGTGATCGTATTACATTTACACAAGTCCAGCACTTCCAGATTTCTAAAAGAATGTTCTTCAACTGCTTTTGAAACCATTGTATCGTGCAGTTCTGCACAATATTTTATGGTTAAGCTCCTCAATGCACAAGCATTTTCAATAACAAATGACAAAGGGGATACAACTTCATCGAGATCAAGTTCCTCATCTTCAAGAGGATGGTATAAAAATTCCTCCAGTTTTTGAAAATACTGGCCATCTTTGCTTACTGGGTCAGACAATGGTGCCAGTTTGGTGTAGAAAAGGTCAATTCTTCTAATTTTTTGACAAAGAACACCAACAGAATGAATATCCACAAACTGGAACCCATGCAAATCAAGGGAGATAATTCTGTGTCCCTGCTTCTCCAAAACTGGCTTGATTCCTGTGTCAAACTGGAGAAGTCCATCATCAGAGCATTCTTGACTAAGGTTGACAGAGAGCTTTGAGAGGTTTGCCAAGTTTCCCAAAGGTATAAGATGGCTGCAAGTCGTAACATTGGTCAGTATTACTGAAGTGATACATTGACAGGTCATCACTGTTTTGATAAGACACTGTGGATTGTCCGGGCTTAAGTGGCTCATATCACAGTTTAAGGTACGAATTTTTAAACTTTTGACATGAAACTGGTCATACATTTGTAATTTTTCTTGTATGTCACTTTCTGACTCATTTTCAAGGGCAAGATTATTCAATGAGCAAGCAATTTCGCTGTGTGTATAATTCTCAATGGCTTTTATCATATCATCAAAAACAAAATCAGTGAGAATATCAGATCTGAGTTTCAGGAACTCAACAATGTGTTCCTGAGGTACATTTAATAGGTAAAAATCCACACATCGGAGTTTCGGACAGGGAAGTGATTCCATTGGTAGGCTGCTGTCTTGTGACAAAAGAGGCTGAAGAGTTCCAATTTTTGTACATGATACATCTAGTGTCAACAAATCACTGCAGGTTTTTGCTGAAATTTGAAGAAAAAAAATAATAGAAATTTTCATATTCAATGAAAGATAATAAAACTATAGACTTTATACAGTAAATTTTTACAAATGCAACAAATATTTATGTTAGTTTCCAATAAGACACTAAAAGTTGACAGATGTATTAGACCCATCTAGACTGTTTTCATATTTAAATTTAACATACTTTGATATAGTAGTATAGACAATACTTCAATTGACCACTGAACCATGTATCATATCAAATACAACATGGTCAGTTTCTCGTTATCTTTTTCAAATCAAAGTGCATATAAGTATATTTTATCAAACTACATCATATTCAACACAATGTTTCCTGATCAGGTGATGTGTGTAAAGTTAACGTAGATTTTATCTAGAGTTTTGGTAAAGAAAATTCCTATTGCATACTCAGAAACATCAGTTGGGAAAATGCCTCATTGAAATCTTACCAACAGCTGCTAAAACCTGGTTGTCACATTTAGTACTGGCTAGATTCAGATGCTGAAGCTTTTTCAGGTGTGTTACCATGGTAACAAGGCTCTTGCTTGACAAACCCGAGCAATGTCTCAGGTTTAGTCTTGTCAAGTTCTGCAAATATATCATGTGATAAAGAAGTGCTCAATATCAAAGTCTATGAAATACTCTCAGTATACATCTATTTGATGTGGTATTTGTCTGAAAGCATGCTTCAGTATTCAAAACAGGTTATGATATATACAGTTGCGATGGACCACTATCTTATTCCCATTAAGTTATATAAAGAAAAAGAAGATAATATGAATGAAAATTGGTGAGAAATGTCAGGAGAATAGGCTATATTACAGGACTTAAATACGAAATGGTTATATCACAAGAAATTTATTAGGAAAGGCTTGAAAATTTCAAAGAGGTTATGTGGGAACACATTCATACATAAACAGGTGTTAACTTGTAAGGAGAATAGGTGATATTATTCAGTATGAGATGTAAGCCACATCACTTTCTCTGGTTAATCAATCGTCATTTTCATCTGAAAACTGGTTGGTAATTGTATAATAATCTAATATGAGAATAGGAGATGCAAGTATCAATGAAATATGGAAATACATAGAACACATAGAAAAATTGTGATATCAAGGGACATCACTCATACAGCAATGAAATAGCAAAACACACTCCCAATACAAGTACATACAAATCTCTGTAACAAATCATAAATCAGTTGTCAAAACTAAGCTAGATTCATATCAAATATTTGTGTGATATGTAACAGTTCAACAAATAGGGACAATGTGCAATATTAGGTTTAGTTCTTCATATCAGAAACCTAAATACCATGTTTGTAGGTATATCTACTCATACACTGTAGTTACATTATACATGTCTATATATTTCATTCCCTTGATAATTCAGGGCCACAATAGTCAGTTAAAGCATTAGCCTATGTGACCTCAGGCGCACACCTGAGGTGCATTGATTGATGCTTCCTCTCCTATTTACTTTGGACAGCCTGTAATGGGCATCCCCTATCTTGTTCAGTGAAGTACCAACCAACTACTACAAGGAGACCCAACTCAAAATGACTATGGCTGTTCACAAGGGGAGAAATGCAGCAAAAAAACAAACCTTTGATTCAGAAAAACATACAGGTTTTAGGCCTGTATGTATATGTGTTTGATGACAATACAAATGCATTTATAGAGAATGAAGTCTCTGTACCATAATAGTAATGAACTTACCAAACAGCGACGGCCTATGGTTTCAGCAATGCTATTCTGTTTGAGACTGGTATTGGCCTTTGACAGGTCTAACTGGTTCAGATGGTTGCTCAACAACAACTGTAGATATTTTGGGTTAAAGAGCTTGTTCTCCACAAGAACATCAATAACTAACTGTATTAGTTCGCTTGCTAGAAAAAGAAAAGAAAAAAAACTTATTAAGTAGATATCTCTGAATCACCTAAAAACCTACCAAATCTTAATGTAAAAAGAAGCGAGTTGGTAGGACATTAACTTCGTCACACAGCTGGTAGTTGGTAGAGCTAAGGGCACTTTTTGGGTCTCCCACATGATAATCTGCGGCTCAGATTCCTGTATGGGTGCATTCAACTAGAAGATGTATTTTCTGTTCTATTACAATAATAACCATGAAAATATGTGCTCCCTTATCAAAAGCCTATTCTTTTCTTGCGACACTACACTGTACTTACACCATGAACTTAGTTACAGATTTCTATTTAAACTATTTATTTGATTAAATACGGTAATTAAAGTATTGCACAACGTATGGGATTATGCATGCAATCATGACATTTTATCTATATGCTTGATAATCAGTTTTCGATATCGTATCTAAATGAACGGTATATTATAGCCATTACACTATATACTTACATATGTGATCAAATGGACCGATGATATGCAATAATCCGCTTGTGTTCCCAAATTGTTCCTCAAATGGTCTATACCAGTAGTTCTCCATAGACTTGCAAATCCTCGTCAAACATAACTTTTCTAGTTGCAATGCGCTTCGTTTTTGTGGCATTGTAAATAAAAAGAATCTCTATGCATATAAAATGTGTCAGAATTAATGCTAACGAATCTATTTTTACATATTCGGTTAAAAGGTCAAACTACGACATGAAAGGAAACAAACATTTTCGGATAATCAATTCCCCTACACCGGGTTTACTTTTAGATCCGATATTCAGAGTTTTAAAAACGTTTGTATTCTACGAAGATATAATTCAAAACTCCATACAAGTTTCCTTTTAATCCACTTCCTGTTGTACACAAATATGGCGGGTGAAAATGCCGTCTCTGCAACCGAAACGGTGCGACGTCGAAACGTTTGTGAAACTGGATCCGAAAAACAGAATATTAGTGATAAAAATGTTGACACAAATTCAACTGAAGGTGGTAAAACACCATTAGACATGCGTAATTGTAAAATAGAACATGGCACGTATTGGCTAACTAGGATACTCCTGTTACGCTTTCTTGGATTTATTTATTGTAAGTCGGTGATAGATAACTAACATGTAACTTAATCATATGTCCTGTTTTCAGATATCATTGAAGCTAAATGTTTAAAAAGATCACACCACCAGTTTTTTTTATATCCTGACTGTAAACGGAGAATGTACATCATATGTAATAGGTTGAGTAATGAAAGGCATCATGTCAACGCACTTGGTTCGAACCAGGTACCCTTCGGTCTCCAGCCGGACACTACCGCTCTACTTAAGGGAAAATCCCACTAGCCGAGTCTAGTAAGACGACCTGTATTTTCAACTTCTTCACTACTCCCTCCTTCCCAAAGTCTTAAATCCCGAAACCAACAACATCCTAGGTTCAATATTGCCGAGGATTTAGCATCACAATCGCCTATATATTTTACCTTTGAGTGGTCAACGACACCAATAGTAACAGGAAGGAGTAATGAAAGATATCCTGCCACCGATTTGGTTCAAACTATCAACCTTTCAGTCTCAAACAGGACACTGTTCTCCCACAAGCTGAGGCTAGTGAGGCGACATGTGCAGTCGATTTCTATGCATATAAGAGTATCACTACAAAACGTTTTGTAGTTAAACCCTTACTTTTTAAATGATATAAATATTTCTACATTTACAGTCTGAATTAAAAACACCTGTGCTCTGATCTTTTTAAACAATAACATACTTGTACCAATGGTCATTATGAGATTTCTTGTTCCTATATCAACGATAAGTTGGTTGCTCTTGATCAGTAGCAATTTGCTAAGGGAAATCTTGTCCAAAAGAATAGTTTTCATAAAATCACCTAAGATCTGCAATCTGATTGTAGCTTATTGAAGCTTTTACAAGTCAAAATGTACATGTTTACAAGTTTGTCAGATTTGGAGTTCGAAACGTTACTAAAGTCTTATCAAAATCACTTAAGTAGAATTTAATTGTATATTAATTTATTGTATTCAAGTTTACATGTCATTATTTTTACCTATCTATCTTTTCTTTTAGTTGTAGCTTTTTTTGTGGCTTTAAACCAAAACAAACAACTTCTTGGCAAAAAGGGATTAATTCCGGCAACAAATTTCCTGAAAAAAGTTGAGGCAGCTTCAGGTGGGATAAATTTGAATTCCTTCAGCTATGTACCAAGTGTTGTATGGCTGGTTGATTACCATAGCAACTTGGACAGTTTCCTTGACTACATTGCCTACCTTGGGATAGGTTTATCCTTATTTCTTATCATTAATGGTGGAGCCAACTGGTTCATTATGCTGTCTCTCTGGATACTCTACCACTCCATTGTCAATATTGGAACCACATGGTGTGTATATAACAGATTATTTCAGCTGTTACGATGAACTCAATATTTTATCAGGTTATCTCCCCTTGTAAAATATACTGTACCCTATCTGTGGGATTAACCATTCTGATCTCCCAGAGTTACTGCCCTTCGTTTTTACTCTGTCAGTGTAGCGAAAACCTTGACATCTGATAAGGGCCAAGAATTGGGATTAATTGGCCGACTGAATTGTTAGGGCATTTTAATTTACATTATACAAGGTCCATTGAATTACATTTCTTTATCACAATGATATAATGGCTTTACTTCAATTATCTCCCCTGTTAAAAGATTAAATTAATATTTTGAGTTACCTTCCCTTACCTCAATGATGCTGATTCCTGGACTACTGAATACTTTGAATATGAGGAACACTAATAATTCCAACTCCAAGGAATCAGATAATTTTCTATTAACTGTATGTATTACTACACATCACATTAAAATTCTCCTACCACACATTTTTAGCATAGATGGTAATATTATATGTTTAATGTATTATACATGAAGGGCATATCCACAAGGAAGAAAATGAGATATTCTGCAAGAAGAACTATCATCACATTACATGTTATACATTTCCATATACATATGACACTCTAGATCATGTAATTATTTCTATTATTTCATGTTGATAAAGAGGAAATGAAAAAAATGCACTTCTTTAGTTCTCTCATCATCACTAAGATTTTGAAATCAGAAAATTATTGTTTTGGCAACCAAAATGATATGAAAATATAAAAATCTAATGAAATATTACATGCTTTTTTGAAATGTCAAAAATTTCTTAATTTGGACCTTTGAAAGTCTCAAAACTAGGACAACTAACCACTTTAATTTATACAAATGGGGTCAAAAATTTTTTTCTATACACCAGTCATACATCATATTTTTCTTTTTTTAACAGGTATGGATTCGGTGAGTGTTTTTTTGTTGTTGATATCATTGAGTCCCTTTTAATTGAAAAGAGTACATAGAATATACTTTCAAAATATAAATTTATGTAATACAGTGTATTTACATTTGACAAGAAGTTTATCTGCCAATTCCTATTATTTCCACTGAACTTGCCCCCATTATATTCATTGATGTTCACACTTTATAGGTTCCAACCTTTACCATTGCCAAAAAGCTATCATATGATTTGCCAATATAACCACATTGTTACCAGGAAAATTTTATTTCACTGGAAAAGAAAGATAGTAAATGTATTGTTCTATTTTATGCGCTTTTCAGCTGAAAAAATGTAAGTGCTGCATAAATTGTAGGAAGCTTCAGGTTTCCTAGTAGTTGGATGTGGTTCAAAACCTTTTGAACTACATATACATTTGTTGACAAGACTTTGGGAAAACTTCTAGTTATTGCAACATTCAATGGAAGTAAGATCAGAACCGACGGAATACTTCAAATTATCTGAGGTCTTCTTGTTATAAGAGTTTGAGCTTGTGAGGTTTGACTGTTCAACTATTCATGTGAAGTAAGAAAATTTGAAAATAATTTTTTAAAACTAAATCCAGTGCAAAAAAAAAAAATGTGATGTATTGTAAATTTAAAAACAGCTTAATATGGATTTATTCTATTGTATTTTCCAAGGCTGGGAGTCACAGCTGTTGGAGACTGGATTCCTCGCCACATTTTTATGTCCAGTGTGGAACTTGTCCTCTGTGCCTCGGGACACGCCCACTTCTAAAATCATCATCTGGGCATATCGCTGGCTCATTTTCAGAATCATGATCGGTGCAGTGGGTACATTTATTTAATTTGTAATTATTGGTATGGAATAACAGTTTTATACAAATTAATTTAATACATTAAGAAACTGTTAAAATAGCTTGTCTGTAGATTTGTAGTTATTAAGAAAGGTATATGTAATATTTCAAAATGAATCTTCTCATTTTTAAAGAAATTGGGTTTTGATGAAGGAAAGAAACTCTGTATTCTTCCATTTCTTTTTTAGGGTTTGATCAAAATTCGTGGCGATCAGTGCTGGAGAGATCTTACCTGCATGAATTATCACTACCAGGTATTTTTTACTGTATAGATCCAACAGGGACGACAGTTTTAAATTGTCTGTTTTCAGGAATATGACATACTTCAAAACCTTAAATTACAATTTTACATGTAATACTTAAGGCTTTGGAATACTCTTTATGCAATTTTCATGAAAAGAATAAATACTTATAAAAAGCTTTTAAATTATTCATTAAAGAAGGGAAAAAAATGGACCATATGCAAATGTTTGACAAAATATCAACATACAGATACAATTATTTTTCAGACACAACCAGTTCCCAACCCCCTTAGTTACTACCTCCACCAGACTCCAGAGGCCTTTCATCGCTTTGAGACAATGACAAATCATTTTGTAGAACTGATTGCACCTCTGTTTTTGCTGCTGACAAGAAGGATGGTCATCCTTGGCGGATGCATACAAGCTCTATTTCAGGTAAAAAGTTAAAAGCATATTTTGGGGGTGTAGGGGGAGGGGGCTGATATTTATAAAATAAAAGAACAGTTCTAATATGAAAACAAATATTCACTGTTGACAGCTGGCTTTTTAAGGAGAGATGATTGAGAAAAAGATACATGAAGGAATTTGGGTCTAATTTGAAATAAATTAATTCCAATAATCACTTCTGTTGAATGGCTCTTTATATATGAAATTGTTCATCAAACTCTAATACTTGAACTGCCACATACCATCTTGCAAATGGTGACAATTATATCGCTTGTTTCTTTTTTGAGATTTAATCAGATTAAGTATTGGCACAATTCTAGATGTTTGCTAATAAAACAGAAAATTTTGGAAGTTTGAATGAAAAGGTCTTCATTTCTTGTGATGCTATCCTCTAGTTCTCCTTTACTGGTCACACATTGTCCTTATAGGTGCCAATTGCAGGAAAAATATTTTACAACAAAGGTGAGAATTATCAAAATTAGGCAAAGTGGTCCTTCAATTGCATATTGGGCTAGTGATCCAAGGATTGTTTTGTTAGTTTGACTTGGCACCGATACTGTGCGCAAGATACTGTAGTCTGCTGTTAATATTGACTCCATAGGGATTTTAGAAAGGTTATAAATAGAAACAAATGTCTCAATAATCACGAATTATACATGGGTAATTTGTGGACCACTTTGAAACAGCGATAAACAGTGATGAAGAGATGCATATGAACAAGTAATTGTCATTATCGTTAGACAAAATAATATTTCATCCACAATTCCTATCTTTCTTAATTATCAAAAAACCTGATTAATTAGCAAACATTGAAATCTGAAAAGTCAAAACAGTTGTATTGTTATTTCCAGGTTGTTTTGATAACCAGTGGCAACTTGAGTTTCCTGAACTGGCTGACCATTGTCCCCAGTTTAGCTTGCTTTGATGATACCAGCATAGCCTGGATGTTTTCCGACCGTAGGAATTCAGCGAAGTGGAAGGTCAAGACAATACAACAGATGACTAAAGATGGACGCCACCAATCTTCACCGGGTATGACAAACTGCACAATGATATGTTATACTGGCTCTGAAATTAGGTGTGGCTCCTTTGTAATCACCAAAAGAGTGTATCAGTCTGATTGATCAGTTTGTATCTCCTAAAACCTACTGTAAACCAATTAAATTCCCATGTGTCTTCAATTTTGCCATGAACTGTTCCAGAGGTGCAAAGAGCGAAAGTGTTCATAACTGCTGGAGTATGAAGGATGCCAGGAAGTAATTGAAAATAAATCCTGAAGGAAAATTTATGATTTTACAGCAAATAGTGATACATGGATATGTATTTGGTACATATAAAGTGTATTAGTACTATATTCCATGCTTTTATTCAATGTGCATGTCATGATATTTACTGTATTTGTTTAAAATCAAATATCAGGGTGATGATAACTTCTACCATCTTCTTAGTCAAAACAATGGCCCTGATTGTGCATGAAATTAAGATATTAAACTTTAAAGTGTGTTATCAAGCCTAGTACAATGTGCAATGAGAGTTCATACCTGTTTCTGTTCCAGGTAGTTATATACGTAAATTGTTCAACCTAAGTGTTGGAGTCCTCATTGCATACCTAAGCATTCCAGTAGTTCAGAACCTTGTGTCTCCCCGACAGGCAATGAACACCTCATTTGAACCACTCAGAATAGTGAACACGTATGGAGCATTTGGCAGGTATAACTTCAATATTTAGAATTTGAAATAAAATTCAATCATTAAAAATATGAAGGTTTTCAAAAGAAAATCTTCCTAAAAAATAAATTTTGTTATACAAGATATATATATGATATAAAACAAAATCTGCAGTTGATCTGAAATATAGTCTTAAAGCTTGATACCATCAGTGAGCATGTATCATTTTATTTATCTGGCTGTTCAGATCAATACTATTTTACTGTCCTGCTATAAGTCCACCACTGATTTTAGATTAGAATGTGGTCCCTAGAGTTTAAGTCAGGATAAATAAGGTAGAAACTGGAAAACAGTATGACACAATGGTTTATTTCTTTTACAGCAAGAAATGGGTACACATAGATTTGAAGAAAATGATAAGATTTGAGTAAAAATTTATAAATTGTATTACAAATTTTCCCATTTAGTGTGACTAAGGAGCGAACAGAGATTATACTACAGGGAACGTATGACAACCCTTATGACAAGAAGGCAGTGTGGGAAGAGTATGAGTTCCATTGTAAGCCTGGCAATGTCACACAGCGACCATGTTTGATTTCACCATACCACTACAGACTAGACTGGCTGATGTGGTTTGCAGCATTTCAGGTAAATAGTATTAAAAAAACAATTTTTTTGACGTTGTAAATCAGATTCTTTATATAAACTCACTTTTTAATTAAAGTGCATAAAATTAAAAAAGATCCATAATATCACTTACTTACTTATACAACACTAGATCTAATTATAGTTTTCAATTACCTTTTCTTCCTTTCGAGTAATAATTCGGCTCCATTCTTTTGACTATAAAATAACATATATTATAGTAGGAAGCTTGTGTGAACTTAACAAAATATTGTTATTGTATTTTGCTTGATCAGTCACAGAAAAAAAATCATTGTTAAAACTTCTCAAAACAATCTGATTAAAATACAGATCTTAATTTACCACTCCAATACCTTGCAATCTTAGTGAACGGAAAGTATTGAAGTGATGAATTAATATCTGTATTTCAATCAGATTGTTGTCAAAACTGTTGCAATTAAATCATGTTTTTCTTTTTTTGATTCTAGAGTTATGAAAGAAACCCTTGGCTTGTTCACCTTTGTGTGAAATTGATGGTAAATGATGAAGACACCTCATCTTTAATAGCACACAACCCTTTCCAGGGTCGTGATCCTCCAGAGTGAGTATCAGAGCATCCCAGATCAACATATATATATGGATTTGTTATTACCATAAATATGAAAAGATCAATATTATTGTATTAAACTAGACCCTGGATATACTTTTGATATTTCTGTTGACTACTCTAACACAAACCAGAGTCTGAATTCAAACTCAAATTTGATGAAACGGCAGAATAAGAATAAAAGAAAGGTTTATATAGAGATCATGTAATGAAAGTAAAATTTAAGAACATGTGTTCAAGAAGAGTAAGTGTCCTTCAGTTTCATTGACTACACCAGCCATGTAAATCCAAGTAGGCGATGACACATATTCCAAATGAGAACAAGGTCAACAGGAATAGAATCAATAGTAATACTAATGAGCATCAAACTTGTCCAACTTTATATCATAAGGAAATCAAATATTTCCCAATGAGATCATGATGACAAATGGAAAAAATTGTGATCATCCTGCATTCTTCAAAACCCTATGTCCTGGTAAACAAATGCAGTTTGAATCACATTTTTTAACAAAAATCTTTGTGAATAATAGGCATCCAAAGTCTGATATCAATCAAGAGTTGAAAGGATTCACAAAGTAAGGACCTGTAACGAGATGTTTTTCATTCAGTTCAGACAAAAGACAGATTTTTATCATTCTTGTATACTGCATTTGTCATTCAAGAAGCTACAGAAATTACAATTTACATGATAAAATTATGTACTGCATTATTTATCATGGACTGTTTTGTTCCACTACAGCATATCAATATTGTCTCTGAATATTAAGTTTACTATCTCTGTAAATTAGTTATAAGATACAGGTGCATGCATGCTGTGATTTTTCTTTTCAGGTATATACGTATGGAACACTACAAGTATACATTCACAAAGATAGGCAGCAAGGATGCCAAAAATGGAAAATGGTGGAAAAGAAAATATATTGACTCCTACCTAAATCCAATTTCTCTAAAATCTGTGAAGGAATATATGAAACAGATGGATTATAAAATGCCTGTTAAGAAGGCAAAACGAAAACTTAAGAGTCAGTTTTAAATTTTAAAGTCCTATTTTATTGTAATAATATTCTTGTATTTTTCCTTTTTGTGTTGTTAACGGTGCTTTAAATTAATGTTAATAAAATTTACAATTTCCTTCTCTACATTGTCTTTTTTAAATGGAATTTATTAATCTTTTTCAAATTTTATATAAAATGTACAATGAAGAGGCTATGTAATCCTGAATCGTGCATCAGTAATACATGCATCAGGACGGATTCGCAAAATAAAATTGGTGTCTGGCAGCCATTTTGAATTTTGACAGGTAAAGGTTTGTTGTTGCCATTTCCTGAAAAGTACTTAATGGACCATTCTCAAATTTCAGATGTAAATTCGCCTTGGTTGCTAGCTGTGCAGGATCAATTTTAGGAATAAAATCTTGGATTTTTATGTAACTGTTTTTCAGAAATTCCTGTACTTGTGGATACATACATATGTTCACGATAGTCCCTAGTTGTACATCTGCAATTTTAGGATTGATGCGAAAAACAAAATCAGCACAAAGTAAAGAAATATTGGATCTTGATAATTAAGGTTGTTGCTGCTATTTCTTTAGCATTGGGTGAATCCCCCTAGGTTCCTAGTTTCCATAATTTTTGGACTGGTTAGGAAAAAGTGGTTTCAAGACAGCCATTTGAGGTTTGACAGTCATAGTTTATTATTGCCATTTCTCAGGCTGTTTCTAGCTCACCTGGTCAATCATCAGTCGTTTGTCCCCTGTCAACTTTTCCTACAAATTGCTACTAGTCATAAACAACTTTTGACAATATGTACCTATGTATCCTTTAGGAAAGATACAGATATTTTGTACTGAATAAATGATGTAAGGAGTCAAATAGGAGAAATAGAATAAAAATTCTTTAAAATCCTACTCCAATTATAGGAATGGTTAGATTTTACCCAAACTTGGTCTAAGGCATCATTGAGTACAGAAAATTAAGTTAAAATAAACCGTCCTCTTTGGCTGAAGGGCTAGGACACATAGAGCAAATTCTTTAAATTCTTACTCATCTTTAGTCCTTCTGAATAATTTAATTTTGTCCAAATTGGATCTGAAGCATTCATGGATGAAGAGAACTTAGTTTTGCATAAATGTTGATGGAACATTTCCAATTTTTCTGAAAAATTTCACCTTTGTCTCTCCATATTTAATTTTGAGATAATTTCCAAATAAGAGTCGTCCGAGTGTAAAGGCTTGTAACTGCCTGTCACACAGGTGGGCAAGCCTTAGGAACCGATCTTGATGTTGCGACGTTACACTTGGACATCCGGTTCTCGGTCTTTCATCAACTCTTCTTTTGGCATTGAGACGTAAAACCAGAGACGTGATATATACGTCTCTGGTAAAACTAACCAACTTATAGTAAATATGTGAACTTGGAAGTGAGAAGCGTCCTGCTCTTATTTCTTCTTAATGGGATTCAATTAACCTGTTGCCTTGCCCTGTGGTGACGATACATTATGGAGTCGTCAATGGACCTATCACAGTGCCCTGTGGTGACGATACATTATGGAGTCGTCAATTGACCCATCACAGTGCCCTGTGGTGACGATACATTATGGAGTCGTCAATGGACCCATCACAGTGCCCTGTGGTGACGATACATTATGGAGTCGTCAATTGACCCATCACAGTGCCCTGTGGTGACGATACATTATGGAGTCGTCAATTGACCCATCACAGTGCCCTGTGGTGATGATACACTATGGAGTCATCAATGGACCCATCACAGTGCCCAGTGGTGATGATACATTATGGAATCATCAATAAACCCATCACAGTGCCCAGTGGTGATAATACACTATGGAGTCGTCAATGGACCCATCACAGTGCCCTGTGGTGACGATACATTAGTGCCCTGTGGGAGTCGTCAATTGACCCATCACAGTGCCCTGTGGTGATGATACACTATGGAGTCATCAATGGACCCATCACAGTGCCCAGTGGTGATGATACATTATGGAATCATCAATAAACCCATCACAGTGCCCAGTGGTGATAATACACTATGGAGTCGTCAATGGACCCATCACAGTGCCCTGTGGTGACGATACATTATGGAGTCGTCAATTGACCCATCACAGTGCCCTGTGGTGATGATACACTATGGAGTCATCAATGGACCCATCACAGTGCCCAGTGGTGATGATACATTATGGAATCATCAATAAACCCATCACAGTGCCCAGTGGTGATAATACACTATGGAGTCGTCAATGGACCCATCACAGTGCCCAGTGGTGATGATACATTATGGAGTCATCAATGAACCTATCACAGTGCCCTGTGGTGATGATACATTATGGAGTTGTCAATGGACCCATCACAGTGCCCTAAGGAGGCGATACACTATGGAATCATCAATGGACCTATCACAGTGCCCTGTGGTGATGATACATTATGGAGTCATCAATGGACCCATCACAGTGCCCTAAGGAGGTGATACACTATGGAATCATCAACGGACCTATCACAGTGCCCTAAGGAGGCGATACACTATGGAATCATCAATCACAGTGCCCAGTGGTGATGATACATTATGGAATCATCAATGGACCTATCACAGTGCCCTAAGGAGGCGATACGCTATGGAATCATCAATCACAGTGCCCTGTGGTGATGATACATTATGGAGTCGTCAATGGACCCATCACAGTGCCCTAAGGAGGCGATACACTATGGAATCATCAATCACAGTGCCCAGTGGTGATGATACATTATGGAGCTGTCAATTGACCTATCACAGTGCCCAGTGGTGATGATACATTATGGAGTCATCAATGGACCTATCGCAGTGCCCTAAGGAGGCGATACGCTATGGAATCATCAATCACAGTGCCCAGTGGTGATGATACATTATGGAGCCGTCAATGGACCTATCACAGTGCCCAGTGGTGATGATACATTATGGAGTCATCAATGGACCTATCACAGTGCCCTGTGGTGATGATACATTATGGAATCATCAATGGACCTATCGCAGTGCCCAGTGGTGATGATACATTATGGAGTCATCAATGGACCCATCACAGTGCCCTGTGGTGATGATACACTATGGAATCATCAATCACAGTGCCCAGTGGTGATGATACACTATGGAATCATCAATGGACCTATTACAGTCCCCCCATGGTGGCAACATACAGTCATCTGTAACGGCGATATATCATAGGTGGATCTGCGGACCTGTTTCAGTTCCCTGTCGTGGTGATACATTTAAGAGTTGATGGACTAGTTACAATCTTCTGTGATAACATACATAATATATCATGTCTGCAGCAATGTTCATGGGTAGCAATTCACATGTCTTGATGTGGCATTGGGTGGTAGTTTTGTTCATTAGATTACCCCTTTGTTAGGAATTTTATCAAAATTGAAAAAAACTCTCTAAAATTGGCATAGTCATATTTTTTAAATCATTTGATATGGATAATCTTGAATTTGTGTCTACACACCAAAACCTAGCTTTACCGGAACTGGTAATTGTTAGCTGTTTCCTGCTCATTTACCACATTATACAGACATCAGAACACAGTTATTTTTCCATGATATATACATGTTCTATAAATGAAAATTTATGAAATAATATATATATTATATAACTTTTCAAAGGACTTCGTCCTTACATCATGTTGTAGAACTATTCAAGACGAACCGACACCTAGCTTAAAAGTAAATATGGCCCTCATTTAAGAAAGATATTTTCATTCAAATGTCACGAACCCCTTAAAATAAAAAAGGAATGACCAAAATTGTAAAATATCACTACTCGCCTCCTCGCAGAATGTGTCTGTCACACTATTAGACATGAAAATGATGCCAAAAAACGAATCCTCGACTACAACAGATATTGCACAATCCCAAGTAAAAATTATGCACATATCTGTTATAGTTGAGTATATAAAAATATTTACTAAGTGACCTGTAATTTCATTTTGCAGTACATTCGTAAAACAATGTCACACGAACCAAATATGTTCCGAAACGAAATGGGGAAAACAAGATCAGAATAAATGATATTACATTATATCGATATGTTGTTTACATAACTGTTTCCAAAACTCGATGCTAACAACCTTAGCAGTCAAATCATCAAAACGCAATATAAACACGACAGTAGGCTAAGGCTTATGATTTTTTTAAAATTGTATTTTCTCACATGATTGATACCAAACAAGCGTCACCAGATCAGAATTAACCAATACATTTTAAACAAAAATGGTTACGGTGGCGTTTAGCGGACAATACAGATTTAGCATTTTGAACTTAGAATCAATCTTTCACAGTTAAAATTAAACATGTTGAAAAAAACCACGTACAAGACATCACTAGCTCAGATTAGCTGATACAGTGAATGTGGACATTATAAACACGTGCTCACTAACATTTAATGCTTAGCTATCAGAAATAACAGATACATAATAGCAGGGACGTATTATACGTCCCTGATAATAGTAATTCAGACACATTGACCCATTGAATAATAACTAATAGATCTTCATTCATTAGAGGTAAAAAAGGTTATAAATAAGTAATATGTTTCTGAATTTAAGTTGAAGAAAACAATCCAAAGAGACAGGTGATATCACAAACATGCAAATATATAATTAAGACAGGTCCTACAAAAACTTGTCGTGAAAATACGAAAAATTATGGATACAGCACACCACATTCAGAATGTCATCAATCTGCCGTAGCTCACACAAACTGATGACGTCACTCATACAACTTCTACATCGATTATCGTAACCATTCTCTTTTCCCTGAAATGTGCAACAAATCTGAAATGAAAACAAATTCATATTCAAAAGAGACTTTTCTTACCCTAAATTTAGAACAAGTAAGGTAATACGAATTGAAAATACATCATCAGATTACGCTGAAATTATATACATGGTGGAGACCTTATATATCTAACTTCCTGCCTTAGGGACAGGCGACTTACAGTTAGGAGGAGGGCGGTGGGATACTTGTACATAACTACTGAGGGACGGGTACAACTACATTGTGGGAACACTGCCTATATAACTTCCTGTCTTAGGGGCAGACGGCTTACACTTAGGAGGAGGGCGGTGGGGTACTTGTACATAACTACCGAG